CCTTTGAAGGCCCTAGGGAGGGATTCTTCCCTGCCTCCTCCCGGTTTTCGGTTGTTGCTGGCAATCCCTGGCGTTCCCTGGCCTGAAGCTGCATCATCCTCATCTCAGCTTCGTTTTCATGTGGCCTTTTCTCTCTGTGTGCCCCTTTGACCAAATGTCCCTCTTTGTGTAAGGACCCCAGTCGTAGCGAATTAGGGCCTACCATGCTCCAGTACGACCCGCCTTAATTTAACTAATGACATCTGCAATGACCCTATTTCCAAATAAGGTCACATTCGGAGGTTCTGGGTGGACAAGAATTTTGGGTGGAGACTATTTAACCTGGTGGATGAAGTGAAAAAAAAAAGAGATTTTTCAATATACGTTTGCAGTAAAAGTTAAAAAATGACACACAGCACACGCAGATGCATAGATGTACACACACATACACACACACACACGCGTGAACACACATGATGGAGTGGAAGGCTTTGCCACAAACCCTTTACTGAGGGTTTTTCTGAGTGTCAAGGTTATGGGTTCTGCTTAAGGAACTCTGTGTATTTTTTTTTGAATTTTATACATTTTCTACATTGAAAACATATTCCTTTTGTAATTAAAATAACATGAATTTAAAAAAAAATTTTTTTGCCATTCGACTTGTCAAAAATGAAAATGACTGCCGGTGTTGAGCACACCGGACATTACTTGCTAGGGGGACTAGAACCGTCTTGGGAGAGTCTTGTCTAATATTAAATATTTCAGACTTCTCAAAATGTGCATGTCTTATGACCCAGTGATTTCATTTTTTTTTTATTATGAGTTGGAAGATTTTTTATTTTTATTTTTTAAATTTTTTAATTTATTTTTATTTCGGCATATTCATTTTTTTTTAAGAGTTTATTTTTTAGAGCAGTTTCAGGTTCACAGCAAAACTGGCAGCAGGTACAGAGTGCCCACGTACCCCCTGTCCCCACACACGCTCAGCCTCCGCCACCATCAACACCCCCCCAGAGCAGCGCATTTGTCCCGTGGGGGCACCTGCACTGACCCAGTGTGTCACCCAGAGTCCACAGCTCACCGCCTCAGGGTCGCTCTAGGTGCACACTCCATGGGTTTGGGCAAATGCATAAGGACGTGTCACCATCACAGCATCATACAGAGCAGTGCCACTGCCCTAAAAGCCCCCTGCCCTCCGCCTGTTCATCCCTCTCTGGCTCTGGTAACCGCTGATGGTTTTACCCACCGCGCAGTGGCAGTTGCACTTTTCAGACTCGGTCCTAAGAAAGCATTAGGTGTGTCCTCTTCGATTCAGCGGTGACACGGTGTTCGCCACCACGTGCAGGGGCCAAACCTGCACCCCAAGCTGCCCGGAGCTCCCCTGTGGGAAGCTGCTCAGGCAAGTGCTGTTGCCTCCAGTTGATGGGACTAAGCTTAGTCACTAAAAATAACGTGAGTGTTTACTGATGGGGGGTTTGGGGTGAACGTTTGTGATATATTAAGTACATAAAATCCGGTTACTAAACAGCGGGTATGATATGAACGTTTTAAAACAGGTACATGCCATGCCGTTAGAATTGCATGTCTCTGCAGGGTGGTCTCAAGAGCAATCTGTTTAAAAGTTTTGCTCCTTTTTGCTTTCTTGCATGGCCTAATTTTTCTATGTGACTATGTATCACTTTCGTAACAAGGCAAATCATAGAGGATATTCATTTAAAAATTCATCATTCTTATCTGTGGGTGATAGTGAGATTATAAAGGGTCTTTATTTTCTTCTTTATATTAAGTTGAGCCTAATAAGAAATTGCTTTTTTTTGGAGGTGAAAAAAATTAAATAGTGACCCTTTAAGTTAATTTAACCTATGACTTAATAGTTTCTAAATATTCTACAGATGTTGTGTACCTAAATTCCTCATATACCTAAATGCCTCAAAAGGTTCCTGTTAAAAGATTTTTATGGGATAAATATAACATCATGGCTGTCATACAAACCCACAATGAACTTGTTTCAGAGATTTTGTTTAACTCATCAATTAATGAAGGAACAAGCAAGATATCATAACGGATTCAATGGAGAACTCAAAGAATGCACATATATATGCCATCATGAATGCTGAAATTTACAAATAGAAGCAAAACAGGTCAATATCTGCAGGGCAAGAATCAACTGCATCTCCACCAGAGGCAAGTTCACTTGCATCTCTGTGTATAAGAATCATTTGCATTGCTATCAGCACCTCATAGCCCCGAGCTGTAAATCGCTTGAGGACAGTTCAAGCCCTACTAAGTCAGATAGCCCCACAATCTTCTTTGTCCATTTCAGTTTTTTTTTCCATAGCTTTCCCTGACATTCCTTTTTATAACTGAAGATAAAAACCAAGCTCTAGAGTGTGCCCTCTGGTCTGGCTTCTAGGGGGCTCCTCTGAAGCAACCCCTTGCTCCCTTCTCCCTGTTGAGGACCCCCCCACCTCTAGAACTCCTTCCAACCCCCCTGCTGCCGAGATACCAAGGCATGTTCTGATCCCCGTTAGCCTAGAGGTTCAATTTTTTTTTAATCGATAAATGACCCATAAATATTACTAAAAACTAAATAATTTGTTAACTCAGAGGGATCTTCTGGAGGGGGTTGTCACTCACCATGCTTTTGCCTCAATTTACTTGTTGATAAAAATGCAGCTGATGAGCTCATGGGACTTTGAGAGGCTTCCATAAGGCTGATAAAATAAAGCTTTCAGAGTCATGACCCAGCACATTGTACATGCCCCAACAGTGTTTGCTGTTGTTTTTGTTATCATTATTATTATTGTTTATTATGATGATTTCTAATGCGCCCCTATCCACCCTTCAAATGAGTAAAATATACATCAGGCCATGCCTGGCAAGAGCATTTCTGGGACAGTCCTAGCACACCCTCACTGAAGGGAGACCGTGTATTTCTCTCCACCAGAGTGCAAGCGCTGGGAGGGCTGGCACTTGGCTTGGTTACATGCCTGGGAGACTGTCTGGCAAATATTAAGAGCAATCGAAATAGTCACTGCGTGGAATTAGTGGGCATTACGACTAATACCCGGCCTATGGGTGTCAGGAACTTAGAAGAGGACGTGACTATGTAACTCCGAAGGGGCTGCTCTTCTGCCAGCGCTGACTTGGCAGAACTGATTACTGAGTTAATTACTTAAGAGTGATGACAGTTACATGCCAATTAATAAGGATTATGGAAACTCATTATGTGCATAAGCAAACCCGCAGAACCAGACAAAAGACCAGAATTGTTAACCTAAAATTCTAGAGCTCTTTGAGCAAACCAAATGGGTGGTTGTATAATTTTAAATTAATAGGCATAGAAAGAAAGTCCAGGCCATTAACATAACTTGTGCTCTCAGCTCATTTTTCAAGTGGACTTCCTATTGCTTTCTTCTCCTGGTGAGATTGACCTAGAGTGACAACTCCTGAATGTGCGATATTTTTAGCTCATTGCTAATGTCCAAGGACAAGGCGATTCAGGAATGCAAATGGTTTCAAGTAAGGAGTAGGCAGGGAAACACACAGTGTGGATAAAAAACTCAGGCAAAAATGTTATTCCTATTAAAAGTGGCTTTTATTTTAACACTAAAGCTCTGAAGGATAAAATATCTATAATTTAGTAGTGGTGATTATACCTCTCAAGATAGAGATTTTCAGATTTGGTCATTTTCTACGGAGGAAGGAGGGCTAGTTTCTTAGCGTGGGTGGCTGCAACCAAATACCACAAGGAGGGTGGGTTAAACAGCAGAGATTTCTTTCTTTTCTCACAGGTGATCCTGTAGACTCATGTCTGGTGCGGACTTCCTTCCTGTCTTGTGGGTGGTCCCCTTTTCCCTGTGTGCTCATCACACGGCCTTTCCTCAGCCCCTGCATGGGGCAGGGGGAGGGAGAGTGAGACCCACCTCTCTTTCTCTGTCTCTTCCTATTCTTACAAGGGCACTAACTCCATCATGATGCAGTTGAAACTGCAAGGGGGTATCTGTCTAGGTCCACTTGCTAGCCACACGAAGACCCAATTATTGAGACAATGAGGATTGCCAAAGGAAGGAAGGAATTTTTTTTAATACGACAGATGTCTTGTCTGGAGAACAGGAGGGGCTGCCTCAGATCCGTCTATCTGACTCATGGAGATCGTGGGCTTTTTGAGGAGTGGCCACGTGCTTTGGGGCAGGTTGGGAGAGTGGCATCATCAACTCCTTTGTCTTGCAGGGACTCCATCATTTCAGGCAGGGGTGGCTCACAAGCACTTTGGGAGGCCGAGGCAGGAAGATCACTTGAGGCCAGGAGTTTGAGTCCATCGTTTCTGGGAAACAACTCAAAAGGTCAAGTGTTCAACGTTAGTTAAGGGAGAGGATTATGGAAAGCATACAGGGGTCATTGAAATTTGTTCATGGAGCCAGTTACAATGGGGGCTCCACCCTCATGACCTAATTACCTCTCAAAGGCCCCATCATTGGGGGTTAGGGCTTCAACATATGAATTTTGGGGAGACATGTAGAAGCTCACAAATAATGTCTTAGTAGTAAAAGGGAAGATGTTTCTTGCTTGCTTTCTTTTTTTTTTTTTTTGAGACAGAGCCTCATTCTGTTGCCCAGGCTAGAGTGAGTGCCGTTGCGTCAGCCTAGCTCACAGTAACCTCAAACTCCTGGGCTCAGGTGATCCTTCTGCCTCAGCCTCCTAGGTAGCTGGGACTACAGGCATGTGCCACCATGCCCGGCTAATTTTTTCTATATACATTTTTAGTTGTCCGGCTAATTTCTTTCTATTTTTAGTAGAGGGGTCTCACTCTTGCTCAGGCTGATCTCGAACTCTTGACCTCCCGTGATCCTCCCGCCTCGGCCTCCCAGAGTGCTAGGATTACAGGCGTGAGCCACCGTGCCTGGCCTGGAAAGATATTTCAATATGATTTCTTTTTTAATGGCGTGGTTGTGGTCTACTAAGGAGTAAGGACACACAGCCAGTGAGGTTGGGGGGGGGCGCATTTCAGGGTTCACCAGTTGTGAAGTACAGCTGACCTAACCCTGATACAGTTGCCTGGGATGGCTAAAAAAGGGTACAAATGAGGCCAAAACGTCCAGTTACTGTGCAGCAGGAGAAAGAAATAATTTTCCCCTCTCCTCTTATATTCAGTTCCTGGGGCCTGCGAACTAATCTGGTATCTAAAAGACAGATTAACAGGAGAAAAAGGTTTAGGTCAAATGCACGTGGGAGCCCACAGAGAAAGTGAGTGTCTCATTCAATGGTTAGAGTTAAAGGCTTAGATTAATATATCTAAGTCGGCAGGGAAAGGGAAAGCAGGGGAAAGGCTTCTTAGGGGAAGAGCAAACGGGTTTCTTTAGGACAAACAGGTTTTTAGCAGAACGGTTGGGAAGTAAAGCTGTTGGTGATAACGTTTGCCTATACAGTTGAGAAAGGTTTTTGTGTCCTCTTCCAGGTCATGATGCTTCCCTGATGAAGGGATTTAAGGCAGGTTTTACTCTCATTCTCTTCTCTGGGAGTAGAGCCACTCTGAAGAGGAATTTATGGCAGCTTTATTTCCCAGGAGTTTCTGCTTTTAGTCACATAAGGGAAGTTCTGAGAAGGCTTTTATTTTTTGCATCTCTTGAATCTCTATTGTTTCCAACTTAAAATAATCTTTGTGCCAAGGTGGCGTATTTTGGTGTATTCTGCTCCCCTCCAACGGAAGAAACAGGATTCTTCTCCTCTGCCCCCATTGATTTGCTTCCGTGTCTTACTTTATTTTTATTTTCAATTTGTTAAATTTATTTTTTACTCTGCACTGCAACGGATGCAAATGCGTCTCCGTTTATTTATGTGAGCTGCAGCTTGCGCGGTGCCTGTTATGTGCAGAAGTCCCTGACTCCGAGGCCCCTGACAAGATTAAAACGTCATGGGGGTGACAAGCCGGGTAGTCACAGAGAACTGATAAAGAAGCAGTGCCAACTACCAGGATTTGGGGAGACAGTCTTTTCCAGAGCCAGTCACGGGGCTCTGCAGAGCCCAGGAGCTGGGAGTCTGCCCTCCCCAGCAGTTCTCGGGCGAATGTCCATAGGAGACTGCGCTTCACTCCCTAAGCTGTCACGTTCCAGAGGACTTCACCCTCAGGACATTTTTTCTTTCTTAAAAGGACTTGTTCTTGTGGCTATCCGGGTGGCTGGCTGGGAGAAGGAACCGGTTTCTCCAGCCCCTGGGCCTTCTCAGGCGGCCAGGCCGGCCTCTGCAGGGTGCTGGTGGGGGCGAACAACGGGGTCTAGGCTCTGGACGACTGGAGAAAGTCTGCCGGGAGGAAGAAGAGGAAGAGGCTGGGAGGAAGAGGAGGAAGAGTCCACTGAGGCCCAGCCGGGAGGACGGGCCGCCCGAGGCCTCTGCACGCCCAGCCGGGGCCTGCACTTCCTGCGCCGGCTGCCGAGCGGGGCTGGCTGATGATTAACGAGGACAGCTGCCTCTCCAGAGCTCACACCTTCCTGCCGTGTGTCTGACACAGCCCGGGACCTGACAGAGCCCCTGCGTGAGGGACTTCCGGGAAATTCCCCGGTGCGGAGGGATCGGGATCTCTAGCGGCCCAGACCCAGTCTGTCCCCACGTCTGCGTGGAGAGCAGCCGAGAGGCCGTTAGGAAACAAACGGAGAACCTTCCTGAAGCCCTGAGGAGGAGGTTTACCTGTCTGAGGTAAGACAAGTGGGGTTTGCGGCCTTCCCTCCTGGCTTTCTCCACAGAGCCCCGGAAGGCAGCCGGGTTCCTGGGGAAGTGCCGGGAGATCCCACTCAGGTTCTTTGTTTCGCAACTTCCGCAGAGTTAAACATTAAAGGAGTGGGCTTCTCTGAGAGCTCAGAGCTGCCAGAGAGGATTTCTCACCAGGGGGTGTCACTCGGGGATGGGCTGAAAGCTGAGACTCTGCTGGGACTTGGGGAGTCAGGAGTCAGACGCTGGAAAATTACTGTGACGCAGGCCCCTGCTGTCCACTGGGAGGATTCGTTCCTCTCCAAAGGGGAAGGGCTCATGCAGCGTAGAGTCCTTCTGAAGTTTCTGGAAGTTCCGAGGAGGCAGGCCCTGGATGGAGGGGCACACAGAGCTGGGGTCTTCGGGACTTGGTATAGGGGTTAAATCCCGCGCATTTAATACAATTTGATAGGACTGAGGACTTTAAGAAGGCTTTGCAGTTTTTCAACTCAAAGCAGGCACTTCAGGTCTTCCCTAACGAAATGAATGAGAAGTTAAATCTTAGGTCCCGCTCAGACTACCCCACAGAGATTTTAACGGACAGTACCCGGTGTATGTTCTCATTTAATCAAAGCAATTTATCTGGTTTCGGTTAGACTTGAAGTCAGCTTCGTGACAATGTCCCAACTGCACACACCCTTCCAATGCCACCCCCTCATAAATCCGTGTGATAGTAACCCCGTGACTCAGTTGCTCAGCTGGACTCTTCTCTCACTCAGAGGTTAAATGACGTGTGAGGTTGTTGGCAGAACGGCGAGAGAAGTATTTCCTGATAGACCTTAATCTACTGCTGCAGTTTCAATAGCCCCGGGCCGCACTTGGTATGTGGTATGATTGCTTTCGGTAAAATGTGTAAACTTTCATAGCGAGACGGCTTCATTTTTCCTCCTTTTTCTGCTACAGCCTGGAGTCCAGGTGACTGGTAGAGCAGTTTGCTTGTGGAGTTGTGCTAATTGAAGCTTGAAAACGAGTAAATGATTTATTTGGCACTTCAAACTTGGAAGGCTGCGGTTTGATTTTGGTTGTGTGCAGCTGCTGCATAGCTTGCTATTGAGACCTATTTTTAGGGATTTGCTAAATCGATTTCGGACTATTACAAGGGGCTAGGTTCCTCAGTGGAATGGTACTGTGGCACACGTATTTCAAACCTTAAATTATGCATGCGTGTAGTTTAGTGCACCTGCTCACTTCTGCTTCCCAAAGACATCAGAGAAACAAGGGGTGGAAACTCCACCTGCCTTCTCCCGAGCGGTGAATGCCCAGCAATGTGCCTTCGTGTCTGGCATGGGCCGTGGGCCCCAGCATCTTTGCGACCCTTCTCGCCGACACTCTCTTTTATTGGACCACCCAACAACTGGGCGAGATGTCCACAGGCTGATGTGTGGCAGCTGTTTCCCATCCTGATTTCAGTTCTTGTATTTCCGCTCCTGGGTCTGCCTTCCAGGGCCTGCCCGAGAAGGAAGGAGATCAGAGCCCTGGATGTGTGTGTCAAACACATTATGAAATACCACTTTGGGGTCTCTGATGGGACCTGGCACCTCCCATTTTAGAGGGACAGGGCTGCAGGGCTGCGTAATCTGTGTGGATGCGACAGCCAACGTGAGAACCACCCAGGTCACTGGCTTCGCACACGGGGGTGGGGAGGTGGAGGGGTGTTTGAAATGGGGAGACCCTTTCCTGAGACTGAGGAGCATGTTTTTGCAGACAGGTCCTGGTGTGCCAGCACAGAGGCGATTTAGCCCTAAATGTCCCAGCGGAACCAAGCAGTAGTGGCGAGTGCCTTGAACAGGCCAGGCCCAGGGGAGAAGGGAAAGGCAAAGAGAAAAAATGCAGGGCTGCAGGAGGGTTGTCAAAGAATGGGGGGGGGGTGGTGGTGGTGGTGGTGGTGGAAGGAAGGACTTCAAAGGCCGGGCAGCAAGCCAGGCCTTGCCCAGTCCACCTTGACCTCCCTAACTCTCACCTTACCCCCTGGAACTCCCCCTCTGTCACCAGCTCTGTCTGCGCTTCCTCAGATGGGGCAGACACGGTCCCGCCCCAGGGCCTTTGCACCTATGGCTCACTCTGCAGGGAGAGCTCTTCCCACAGATGTCAGGGGAGGTGGCCGTGGCCTCACCTCATCACCGTCCCCATGCCTCCGACCACCCTGCAGGAGTGACAGCCACCCCCCCCCACCGCCACACTCTCTCCTTTCTATTTTCTCCACACCTACTGCCACCTTCTAACAGGCTGTGTAACCAATTCGTTCACTGTGTTGCTCGTCTTCCCTTTCGAGAACGTGAGCTCAAACGTGGCAGGGGGGTTTTCTCAGGACAAGGGACTACAATGAGTAGCAGCCCACACTTGCAGTTTGCTCCGTGGCTCAGGGCTAAGGCTGTTCCACCCGCACCCCCCCGTGTGTATACGTGGGCTTCCTGGGGAGAAAGATCACCGATTCAGTTGTTCTCAGACTTGGCAAGCACCAGAATCTCTCGGGAGGCTTATTTAAATACGGACTGCTGGGCGCACCCCCCCAGAGGTGGTGGCGCAAGGCGGGCCCAAGAACGCACTTTTCTGACGTATCCCCAGGTGAGGCTGCCACCCACCGACCACCCCGAGACGTGCCGACGCGCCGTGTCCCCAGGCACACGTGAGCCGGCGGGTCACAGAAGACCTCCGCAGGGCGGACACTCATCGGTGTGGGCTTTTACCTGCCTGCTCTATTTTCCCAGGGCGAGGAAGACCATGCGGAGATGCAGGGCAGCTGGGAAGGCTTCCTGACCGTGCTGGGCGTCCTGGCCGGGCTGGCAGGTAGGGGTCACCTGGACTGTTCGTGGGCACCCACTGGGACCATGCCCTGAGGGGTCTCCAGGGCACACAGCTGCCAGAGGGTCTTCCTTAGGGATTTCCCACTGCATCCCCTTCCCTCGGCCACCTCTTCAGGGGGGTCTGCTTCCTCCTGCAGCGTCCGGACTCCAGGTGCTCTGGGACCCCCACCGTCGTCACTGCCCTGGGAGCCTGACCCAGGTTCCCTCCCATGAGTGCTTGCACCTGTTGAAATGTCCCCTCCCCCAGCTGGGTGTTCACCTCTTCAGTTTCTATCTGGTCTCCAAGGAAGACCAGCCTCAGGCATCACTGCTCCGGGAGGCCTGCTATACCCTGTGGTTCTCGGGCTGAGAATCCCGGTTCCCGTTTATTGACTGGGTGAGGGGCCTGTTGCCTGCGACGCCTCCCCTTCCTCACCAGCCCGGGTGCCAGCCCAGGAGCCCCCTCGCTTCTCGGTTTCCCTCTGTGGGTCCCCACGTCTGACACATGCTGACTCCCACCACGTCCTTCTAAAGCTGCGCCCCAAAGCTGTTCCCCTCTTTGGCTCTCCATTTCATTTCCCTTCCTCCTTCCTGACTTTCAACCTACTTCTCCGGTCCAGCATTCCCGTTCATTACAAACTCCAGGGACGAGAGGAGACCTGAGGGGTCCTCAGGTGTAGCCAGGGAGGAGGAGGCGGGGTGGGAGTAGCCCTTACGCCCCGGATGACCGGGAGCTGAGCGCAGGCGTGGCAGAAGAATGACACTTGTGTTTAGCATCAACGTACGGAGGACAGGCAGGAGCCGCGGAGGCTGGCATGCGTGCTGCCGTGGGGGCGATTTGAGCTTTGCAGGTGTCAGGGTGGAGTGAGTAGAAGAAAGGGAATCTCTGCAGTCCTGGTGGGCAGCCAGCTGTTCACCCAGCTGCCGGGCAGGGCAGGAGAGAAAGCAGGAGGCCAGCGCAGAGACATGGGTTTGTGAGCTGGGGACAGTTGGCGTGAACGGGAGGCTTCCAAGTGGATAACCTCCTACAAGGGCATCACGGGACAGAGGCTGCGACCTGGTATCAGGTGACCGAGTCACTGGTGGCCGCAGGGAGGGTCCCGGGCGGGAGCTCTCTCCCGGCCCTGCCCCGTCTGCCTCTTTGCTCTGCAGAGGAGAAGGGGGAGCAAAGGCTAAAGGGAGGTTTTGAGGTGAGGCGGGATAAAGGTCTGGTTTCCTGTTTTCGTATTTGCTCTGTGTAGGGCAGGGCCACACACCCCACCGCAGATAAGACACAGACGAGAGAGGAATGAGGTTCGGGCCCTCGGGCTACTGGAAACGCAGCTTCGGAGTCTCCAGGCATAGCTGGAGGGCGGTTTACCTGCAGCAAGGACAGCCAGTACCATGTCCCGGGCATTCGGTGCTTGGGATTTGGTGCCTCCTGGTTAATTGAAAGGTCAAATCCAACTCCAGGGCTTCCCTTCCTTCCTCCTTTTTTCTACCTCCCCAGCTGCAGTGTAGGGCACGGAGGCTGCGTGTATTAGATCTCACGATTCCTTGGTCACACGTGCAGTCCGTGGGGTGTGTAGGGACTGGCTTGGGACTGAAATAATCTCACTGTCGCACACAACACAGGGGGAGGAACTGCGGTTTCAGAGGGTTTGCTGATTCTTCGGGAGTTGCCTGGCTGAGGTTCTCGGAGGGCCAGCCTGGGGCACACCCACCCTCGTACTGCCTGCCCTGTCCTGCGGGGCTCTGACCGTGTGACCCCCTTGACCTGAGGCAGGGGTGGAGGAACCGGGTCATTACACCAAGGAGTGAGAAGTGGCTTTTCCTGCTTTTCTTGGCGTGTAGATTTGGCTATTTCTCTTTTTTTCTCTTTCTCTTCCTCCTTTCTCCTCTCTTCTCTTCTCTTTTCTCCTCTCTTCTCTTCTCTTTTCTCCTCTCTTCTCTTCTCTTCTCTTCTCTTCTCTTCTCTTCTCTTCTCTTCTCTTCTCTTCTCCTCTCCCTCCTCCCTCCTTCCCCTCCCCTCCCCTCCTCTCCTCTCCTCTTCTTTTCTTTCTGAGACAGGGTCTTGCTCTGTTGCCCAGACTGGAGTGCAGTGGTGTCATCACAGCTCACAGCAACCTCAAACTCCAGGGCTCAAGTAATCCTCCTGCCTCAGCCTCCTGAGTAGCTGGGACTACAGGTGTGCACCACCACACCCTGCTAATTTTCCTATCTTTAGTAGAGATGGGGTCTCTCTCTTGCTCAGGCTGGTCTCAAACTCCTGACCTCAAGCGATGCTCCTGCCTCGGCCTCCCTGAGTGCTGGGACCACAGGTGTGAGCCACCTCCCCTGACCTCCTCCTTCTTAACATGCACTTCAGGATTCACGGAAAAGGCCGAATTAGCCCAGTGGCTGTGGCTTCCCTGGGGGATCATTTCTCATTTCCCTGCCTCAGTTTTTTTTTTTTTTTTTTTTTAACATCAAAGATGAAAGGGATCTTCCTGCCTCAGTTTTTTTTTTTTTTAACATCAAAGACGAAAGGGATCTTGGAGCAGAGAGACCTGCCAAAGGGGTCGGGCAGAAGACCTGATCTGAGTTGTGTTTCAGAGTCACTCCTTCTCTCTCCTGTCATGCCTAGGGACAATGCAAAGAGTAGAGATCATGTTTACCCGGACACCGGGTTGGCTAAGTAAATTCCGCCCTTCCTCAGTTCTGCCTCTGCCCAGTCAGGGCCCCTCCTTGACCCTGGCCAGCCATGCCGGGCCTGCTGCAGTGGCTCCCGCAGCTCACTCTCTCCCATCAGCGAGTCCACCCAGGGAGGCAGGTCTGTCCCGCAGTGTGTTGCAGGCGCTCTGGCGAAGTGTCAGTATGTTACCGTGTGTCCGCCAGCATGGCTCCTCCCCAGAAACCCCAAGGGCTGTGATGAGGATGTTTTAGAACCAACCTTATCGCTCAGCCTTACAAAATCGGAAGGAAAGGGGCGCTGCAGCTATTTGGGGACACCCAACCAACACATATGACAGGCTACCCGGCCAGCATCCTGGATCACGCAGCACCAGAAACTAAGAGGAATGTGCTGCAGTCTTACTGATGCACGGTTGAGAAGAAAGCAAGGTGTGTGGTCTGAGTGACATCAGAGGGGAAAGAGCCTGAAATTCGGAGTGGGAAGGTCTGAGCTTGGGTCCAAGCTCCACTGCTGTGACTTCAAGTCCTGGGATAGTTAGTGCTCGTTGACAGGTTGTCTCCTTATGGAGGCTCAGAGGGAGGATCTGTTGCCGGCAATCCTTGGCCTTTGTTGGCTTGTGGATGCATCACTCCAATCTCTGCTTCCATCCTCCCACGGTGTTCTTACCTGTGTATTTCTGTGCCCAAATCTCCCTCTGCCTTTCTCTTGTAGGGACACCTGTGATTGGATTTAAGGTCCATCCTAAATCCAGGTTGATGTTGTCTTAAGATCTTTAACTAGTTGCATCTGCAAAGACTATATTTTCAAAGGTCGCACTCTGAGGATCAGTGGACATGAAATTTGGGGATCACTACTCAACCCAGCATGACCATGGATTGAGGGGAGTGGAGTGGAAAGGGGGGCATGGTAGTGGCTGTGTCTGCTGGAAAGGGGGGATGCTTAGGACCTCTAGGACACACAGAGTCTGAGCCATTGGGTGGGACACCCGGGACACTACAACCGGTGAATACAGAAGGGTGAGACCGTACAGTTGATTTACGTAGATTAAGTCCCTTTCCAACTTGAAAACTTGGTTGTCTTTCCAGCTTCTGGATCCAGCTATCAAATCTTAGAAGGTCCCAAGAATGTGACGGTCCTGGAGGGCTCGGAGGCTCGCTTCAACTGCACGGTCTCCCCGGGCTGGAGGCTCATCATGTGGGCTCTGGAGAGCACCGTGGTGCTGAGCGTGACGCCCACGGAGCCCATCATCACCAACGACCGCTTCACCTCCGAGAGCTACGCCGTGGGCGGCAACTTCATCTCCGAGATGATAATCCACAACGTGCAGCTCAACGACTCGGGGCAGGTCAGGTGCAGCCTCCAGAACAGCAACCGGGACGGAACTGCTTTTCTCTCCGTCCAAGGTATGTATGCAGGTGGCGCCAACGCGGAGCATCTGGAGTCCATCGGGTTAGATGTCAGAGGGCCGGAAGGGACCTTCTGAAGTTCATGCCCTATGGGATGACGCACACGGTCTACTTCCAGTTGGCGTTGTACTTAGAATTGTGCTGAACCCGAGGAGTGTTTTGTGGTTTGTTTATAAGTCACCTCTTTCCCCCGTCCTTTCTTCCCTCCCTTCCTTCCTTCTTCCATGTATGATCAGCCTTCACCTGGCAATGGGCTTAGGATTATTCTGAATGAACTAATGTTTATTAATTTGTAGATTTCTCTCCTTTCTTCCTCATTCCCTTTCTTCTTTCCCCTTTGCCTGCTCGGTTCCCTCTCTTTCCTTCTTTCCTTTCCTCTTTTCCTTATTAACACTGTTAGAGGCTAATTTTATCACTTCCCCATCTAATTCATTTCAGTATCTAATAGCCTTTATTTCAGGATATATATCCTGAAATTTCAGGAAATATATCCTGAAATTCTTCTGGGGCCAGTTGCAGTCACTTTTCTTTGATTTAGAGATAGTTGACAGTCACTGCCCTTTCTCTAGTTTTTTATATACTTGGCTGCATTTGTTTGCTTACTCATTTATCAGCTTCGGAGCATGCTTTCATCTTTTCCTCTTCCCAGCAGAATTTCCCCAATCTATTTCTCTTCCCTGCCCCCAGCTACAGTGGTTATTATAGCCAAAAGTGTGTGCTCACCAAAGATATCAAGTCTTTGAGAGAAAAGACAAGAGTATACAAAACTTATAATAAGGGTTAACTTATTTTTCATTTTTAAAGGTAATTTTGAGGTATTGAAGATCATGTTGCATAATAAAAAAAGTAAAAGAATGCTTTACAAGGATTTGGAATAGTCTTACCAAAATTGAATCACTTCAATTTTTTTTTTTTTTTTTTTTTTTTTTTTTTTTTTTTGAGACAGAGTTTTCTTTGTTTTCCAGGCTAGAGTGAGTGCTGTGCGTCAGCCTAGCTCACAGCAACCTCAAACTCTGGGCTCAAGCGATCCTCCTGCCTCAGCCTCCCGAGTAGCTGGGACTACAGGCATGTGCCACCATGCCCGGCTAATTTTTTATATATATATCAGTTGGCCAATTAATTTCTTTCTATTTATAGTAGAGACGGGGTCTCACTCTTGCTCAGGCTGGTTTTGAACTCCTGACCTTGAGCAATCCGCCCGCCTCGGCCTCCCAAGAGCTAGGATTACAGGCGTGAGCCACAGCGCCCGGCCTACTTCACATTTTTGTAAAGCATAATTATACTCTAATATAGATGCATTGGAACTAGCAGAATTCCTAATTTCTATGGCAGTATTTCTGACAGGAGACTGACTACACTATGTCTTTGAAATAATTTCTTGTATCAATTTATTTGATTGTCTAGAAAAAAATTCCCAAAGATTCTTTCCATATTCGTGTTGCTATCAAATCAGATTTGATAACATTTGGTGGAGACATTTCTACCTCTTTCTATTTGTATTTTCAAAATTTGTTTTTACTTTAGAAATTTAGCTAAATTGGTATGCCTTTACTTTTGTGTGTCTTTAATTTTGTGTGGTTTAATTGGGGCACAATGATATTTCCTAAATAAATGATTTTATAAGGCTACCTAGGACTATTGGCCTAGTTTGCATGACCAGATTCTCGTTATAATAATTCATAGTATAAAGGAAAGAACGCGGGGAAAGGAATCAAAGAGGTACACTCTGGTTTTGACTTCACCAGTTATCTCCCAGAGAGACTCTTGGGATGGCTCAATCTTTTCATCTTTAAAATTGGGATAAGGCTTCCTGCCCACCTCACAGCAGTTGGCTGTGAGAATCAGGTGAAAACTTGACTGAGGATGGTTTGAAGACTCCAAAGTTCTGTTAATTCTGCACATTAAGTTGGGAGCCAGAGTGCTCCAGTGGCTAGTAGTTTTTGGTTTTAATGCAGATGGAAGAAGAAGCATCTAGAAGAGTTAAAGACTTCTCCAAGGTCACGCGGAGGGGCCCCAGAAAGCCGGGACAGAACTCGATGATCTCACCCTGGTTTCGTTGGTCTGAGTGGCACTTAGCTCCCAGAGGGGCAGGTGTTCTCTGAGCAGCAGGGTCTCCCTCAAGGGATAAGGAATCTTGAAAACAGAGGACACGTCCATGAATTATCCAATGATTGTTTTTACCTCCTCCTTATGTGTCAACAAGAAAAATAAAGAGAGCTGACATAACTCCAAACTGAGTCATCTCAGATCTATGGGACTACTCCAGTAATCACTTTCGTGTGACGTGCTTGTCACACACCTGGATAACCTTTGTGAAAGCCAGTGGGGAAAAATTGAATCCCGATTGTGCAAAGAAAAAACAAAAGTGTCTCAGATGGCTGCCTTGGTCTATTTATGGCTCAGTCCACCAACTGATTGCACAGCAAGCTCCAGACCTCTTACGTTTTGGGGGCCACAAGGACTTGATTAAGTTCAAGATCCTCTGTTGCTAACCGAGGCAATGCCATTCCTCCCAGTTCCCGTCATCTTAAATCATTAAACAAAACAAAACAATAAACAAACAAAAGAACAATCATAAAATATTTTAGATTTAAGGAACACATCCTTTTTCTACTTATTTTCATTTATAGTGGCCCTTGACTTAGCCAAAGTGCCTTACCTGTTTTAAGAGAGTATTTCAGGAAAGGAATAATTGGAAAATCTAACGTTTCAGAGTAGAAAGATCCTTTTGAGCTGATCGAGCTCTGTGTCTTCTGGGGACTCCTGGGCAGACCCTTAGACCCTTTCAGGATGGCCCGTGCAGTCATGACTGTTTTTACAATAGTATAAGACGGTTAGCTGCCTTTTTTACTCTCATTCTCACCAGTGCGAATGGGAGCTCTCCACTGTGCATTGGAAAGGTCTGGGTAACTCAGTGGACCAGCATTTTCCAAATGACTGGAGTATTATGATACAGAATCACCCAAGGGCAACAGATCCATTCAAAGTGCCAGACAGTGCAACGGATTTTAACGCAACAGAGAGGGAACGTTCCAGATTCCACAGTGCAACCAACCTCTAAGAAGCCATTTCTTATTGAGTTTTGATATAGTATCTATGAGTATCCACAATTATCTGAAAACGCTATTAAACCCTCCTCACGGTTCTAGCTACATAGCCATGTGAGTTTAGACTTCCTTTACATCTTTCAAAGAAAGCAGTATATTGCAACAGATTGGATAAAGAAACAGATGATGAGAATCCAGCCAGACAGTAGAGATTCACATAGGTGTAAAACAGTGTCACTCTTTCATTAACTTTTTTGGTTTAAAAATATAATACTTTTTCATGAAAATATGTTAGTCTAAGTTAACATATCATGAGTTATTACTGTCATGTTTAGATAAATATTTTAAAATAATTATTTAATTCTAATTTCAAATGTGATAAATGTTGGTAGCTACAACCCACAGAAATGAAAGGTCTTTGGAGTCTTCAATGATTCTGAAAAGTGTAAATGGTTCTGACACCAAAATGTTTGGGAACTGCTGATCTGGTCAAATCCTCTCACCCTATAAGTGAGAAACAGAGAACTCCACAATCTTTGTGACTTGCCCATGGCGATGGCAGTTTTGTGTCAGATCGACAGATCTTTTGATTCCTAGTCTGGCGTTCTTTCCACGAGCCAGGGGTCCTCAAACTATAGCCCGTGGGCCACATGCGCCCACCGAGGACATTTATCCGGCTCGCCGGGTGTTTTTGCCTCCGCTGCCTGTCCTGCTTAGCAGCCGACTCGTCCCGGGCCCACAGTGCGCATGTGTGGAATGTGCGCCGCACTCCCAACGGCCTGAGGGACAGTGAACTGGCCCCGTGTTTAAAAAGTTTGAGGACCCCTGCATGATACCATGCAGCCGGAAGTTTTAGCATGTTTTAATTGGGACATTTCACTGAGGCTGTGTCTTTACTAGGACCAACCCTTAGGTGACTTCAGTAGTACTTGCAAAAACAGGCACTATTTTCATGTGAGTTATTGACAGTGTGAAAACTGGCCTCTGCAAGTGGGCTCTTAACAAAAATTTAAAAATAATTGACCTAAGTTATTCTGATGTATGATCTGCGTTGGTTGTTTCTGTGATTAGATTAGATGTTGATTTAATTTGTAACAAGAACTATTTTAAGGCAATATCATAGGAAGTTATGGTCAAAAAGTATGTGACCTCCAAAATAAATAAAATGAATGTGACTGACCGAAACTCCAGGACAGACTTGCTGTATGTGTCCTCCTTACATTGAAAAGAAGGTGGAGAGTGTTTCCCTTTTTGCCTTTGCTGCCGGGACAGCCCGAGACAATTTTGTAGCTCCTCTTCGGTGACTGTGTATCCCTCCTATGGCACAGACATCTGCCTTCTCTTTCCCATACAATTATTTTCCTCCGGTTCCTGATTTTCATTTATTCATTTGCCATGTAATTGCATGTTTTCTTGGGAGCAACTTCGCCTTCTTTGAGAACTCAGCAGGTATAAAAAAAAAAAAAAGACACAGATAAAACCCAAGTTGAGGTTTCCTGGTATAGACACAGCCTTCTGGGCTTGGGAAAATAGGTCCCTCGAAATGTGATTTGAAGCAAAAATTGAAAAAAAAAAGAAAAGAAAAGAAAAGAAAAGAAATGGAAAACCTGAGAGGCACTGTCATCTCTTCAGAATGTTTCTCTCTTTTCTCCTTTAGTTATGGGAGCGTTGCTCATCCCCAATGTTAGTCTTGTGGTCACTGAGGATAAACCTTGTAATGTTACTTGCCGAGCGTTGGGCTGGACGCCACTCCCGGAGTTTTCCTGGGAGGTCGGCGTCCCCGTCAGCCAGGCAAGCAATTACTCTGTGCCGGAGCCCGGAGACCTTCACAGTGCACGGAGCATCCTGGCTCTCACGCCGCGGGGCAATGGGACTTTGACTTGCGTGGCCACTCTGAGGACCCTGCAGGCCCGAAAGTCTGCAAGTGTAAACCTCACTGTGGTTCAGCCTCCCCTGGGTAAGTGGAGACTCTGCTTTATATCAGATGCATTGCTGTTTCATGCTTGTGTAGTGTGTCATTCTCCTTCATGGGCAGTGCCTAGGAAAACCATACGGCCACCTTGATTTTCAAGTAGGGGTGCTAATGAAGGCAAATCACGTCTGCTGTTAATTTAATGACCCTGTAAACTCGTCTGCTTATTAAATTCCATCTTAACATTTTCCTCTTTTCTACTTGCATTTGAAAACCGTTTAGAATCTTGCTGATGATTGATCACAAAAAGAGCGTCAGATGCAGAGGCTAATAGTTGAAGTAGACATTTTCCTTTAGCTTTTACCCACCACTGCTCCAGTTTAATCCCACCCTCTGAGACAACATGAAGCAAAGCCTAACAGTTGAGGAAGGTGTTCAGGTCCTGTTGGATTTCTTCCAACTCAGTGCAATTATGACCGCTTCATTTTTTACCCAGCAAGTCCACAGTGTATTTCAAAGTGTCGAGTCTCTATATATTGTCTAACTTGACCAAGTGACATAACTTGAATGTTTAGAGCCCCCCAAAGAATCTCCAGTAGGGTTCTTGGCAGACCAGAAACTCTACCCATGTTTCTTGAAAGGTTGCTCAGAGCCTGTGAGCTCTGAGTCTGCCTGGACAGGGTGCGGTTGGGGGCGCTGGAGTTTTACTTTAATTTCTTTATTTTCCGGAAGAGGAAGGGAGACGTAGAGAGACGCCGTGGTTCTATCCAGGCCACATAGCTGGTGGGGCAGAGCTGGGCCTAGAAGCTAAGAAGAGCTTTTTTTTTTTTTGGTCTAAACTTTTCCTGCTATGAAAACACTTTTTTTTTTGCTTGAGATCTTTCAAAGTACAGAATAAAGCTACAACCAAAGCAAAATAATAACAGTAACAATAATAAATAGCACTCCATGTAGCACTGAGTATCGGGCACTATTCTAAGCTCTTCTCAATTACTCAGCAGGTTAACCTGCCTGACAGGCCCGTGAGTGGGTGCTGCTCTTGTTCCTATGGTCAAGACGGGTGACAGGGACAGCGTTGTTTAGACTCTGCCCACACCTGTAGAGAGAGTGAATGGCAGGGCAGCCTTCCTCTAGCATCTGCTCACCTGTCACCTCTGCACACCACGTGAGCAGCCACTTGGAGGGGATGGGGGGGTCCTGCGGCTGTCGTAACAAAGTGCCACGGACTGGGTGGCTTGAGCGACAGGAATTTATTGTCTCGTGCCTGTGGTGGCTGGGGGTCCGAGATGCCAGCGGGGCTGGTTCCTCCCGAGGCTTGTGACAGAGAACCCGTCCCGTTGCCTCTCCCTTACTCCCGGTGCTTTGCCGGCAGCCTTTGACACTGCCTGGGTTGCAGGAGCATCACCTGCCTTCACTGCCGCACGGCGTTCCCCTGTCTTTTGTCTTCCCTGATATAAACATTCCTGAAGGGTCCAGCCTATTTCTGCGAGATGCCTCTTACTTTCACTTTGCCTGAATTTTTCCCCACATACTTTGATTTAGGCTAAACTCTCCTGGCAAGATATAAGGAATGCCACGTGGGCACGGGACGGCAATTTTCTCTCTCGTTGTTGGTAGTAAGTGTATGGTTCGGTTAAGGCAGCATCTCTCAGATTTCCGCATTGTAAAGATGCCTTTTGGCCTCTATAATGAATATGTAATCTGCAGATACTGTGGGACTATCCTGTTTGTCCATTTCACCTAATAACCTGCATTCGTTAAGGCATTGCATTGCCTGAGTTAACTATTGCTATGGTGGTTGTAAAAGAGTGGTTTCCTGCTCCCATCACTCTCTCCTTGTTTAGTGGTTGGCATTCTTGTTCCATTGAGAGGAGACTTCTGTGGGGATCCCTTCAAATTGGCTCTGGTGTCCTTCCGACATGTCCCTCTTGGTTTTTGAGCTCTTGGCCCAACAAGGTGTCCCAGACTCAACTTTGCACCCCCCAACCCCTCGTGCCAGCCTGGAGTCAGCCATTCCTCTGAGGAGCCAACCTTAAATATCATATTTTAAGCTATCTAAGCCTGATTAATTATGGTCCAGCCTTTGGAAGGGAAGATTAAAAAATTTCCATTGGCACCCGGTGGGATAAAACTTTAAAGCACACAATTTAACAAGGTAAAAATGTGGCCAGAGCTCTGGGCTGATTGGTGGTACCCCATGGAAATGGATTTTAGAGATCAGCTTACCCGTACATTTTCTTTTCTAGGGGAAGGGAACAGGAAAGGGCACTTAATTTCCCTTAATCAGCTTTAATTCAGCTGAATTCTTCTTGGACTAGGACTGGAGCCTTAATTACGGTAGCTGGAGGCGTGACGGCCGGGGAGGTAAGGGCAGCAGGTTGCCTGCGGTGAGTCTGGCTTTATTGGGCTCATTTGGAAAAGGGTGATTTGTTTCTAAATTATTCATCAAAGTCTGGAGCAGCTGGCACTGGCTGCATGCTGTGTGTTTTATGCAAGTTTTATTAGCCAAAGACCTCGTTGCAGCCCCGGCTGGCAGAGCTGGTGACTCGAGGAAGCCTTGAGCACAGCCGGGCTCACGGAGAGTCAGTGAGGCTGGGCCCTTCCTCTCGAATGGGACGGACACCGATTTTTCCACCCATTTCCGAGAAGTGCAAGGAACTTTGCTTCCATTTCCAGGATGAAGCCCGTATGCCGTTTAAAAGACGAATGACAGTTGTAGGTTAGGAAGCTTAGCTAACCAGGTCAAGGCAAAAGGTTGTATGAAGCCCTTGCTGGTTCACAGTTCAAAAGGCTTCTTTAAAGAAAAGCATATTCTCACGCCTGTAATCCTAGCACTCTGGGAGGCCGAGGCGGGCGGATCATTTCAGTTTCAGGAGTTCAAAACCAACCTGAGTAAGAGCGAGACCCCGTCTCTACTATAAATAGAAAGAAATTAATTGGCCAACTAATATATATATATATAGAAAAAATTAGCCGGGCATGGTGGTGCATGCCTGTAGTCCCAGCTACTCGGGAGGCTGAGGCAGGAGGATTGCTTGAGTCCAGAAGTTGGAGGTTGCTGTGAGCTAGGCTGACGCCATGGCACTCACTCTAGCCTGGGCAACAAAGTGAGACTCTGTCTCAGAAAAAAAAAAAAAGCATATCGAAAGGGTTAACACTTATCTTCAGATCTGTTTTTCTAAAAAGCAATTATCTTTTCTTTTTTTTTATTTCAACAGAGGTAGGGGTGCAAGTGTTTTTGTTACAGAGGTAATGTGAACCTTGCTTGTTGCAGGCACACCTAAAACTAGGGAGGGGGCACCCCTCTGGGGTGTCTTTTTTGTGCACTTAATTGTGTCTAGGGTGTGGAACGATTAAGTGAAGCAGCATTTCTAGGACTCCCCAGCACCTCGAAGGATGTAGTGATTCCTGGCAATGATCTCATTTTTTTGAGAAGTGGCAGTTTGGGAGGCAGGGAAGAGTGGCGGAAGGACGGTCCTGCGTCTTTGCTCTGGCACCGATGGTGCAACTTTGGCAAGTCACTGACCTTCGGGCTCAGTTTTCTCACCTGCAAAATGGGCAGGAGGAGACTAGAAGTTCTCTGTCCTGGGTGTGTGTCAGAGCCTTAACGCACGTGCAGATGCTCAGGCCACTCCCCAGAGGTTCTGGTTTCGTTGGTCTTCGTGGAGCCTGGGAGTTGTGACTTAAAAAAAAAAGTTCCCAAGTTACTCTAATGGGCAGCCAAGATTGGGGGCTACTGGACTAAAAACGCTCTAAGACCCCGCCTTTCCATCCAGCCTCACCAGGTGCTCCTGCCCACACAGACTTGGACACAAGACAGCCCGGGTTCTGATCCCAGCTCACCCACTCATGAGCTGTGCGACTTTGGGCAAGTTACATACCCTCTCTGAGCCTCAGTTTTCTCATATGTAAAACGGACATGCCTAATAGGGATGTTGCTGGTGTGAGAATTAAGTGGGTTAAAATACCTAAAGCACTTAGGACAGTCTCTGCCCCAGAGCCCACAGGACAGTAGAGTGAGTGATTTATTATCATTTATGTTATTGATTCGGAGATCTCCTGTGTCCCCTCTAGTGGGCATTTGCTTTGCAAATGTTGGTGGTGACATTTTGTATTGACACAGTTGGGTTGAAGAAATTTTTTTTATTATTATTATTTTTATTTCGGCATATTATGTGGGTACGGATTTTAAGGTTTCAATAAATGCCCTTTCCCCCCTCCCCCCACAAGTCTGAGTCTCTAGCGTGACCATCCCCCAGATGGTGCACATCTCACTCATTATGTATGTATATACCCGCCCCCCTCCCCCCTGCCCAATACCCTATTACTGCAGTACCTATGTGATCACTTAGGTGCTGCTCAGTTAATACCAGTTTGCTGGTGAGTATAATTGGTGCTTGTTTTTCCATTCTTGGGATACTTCACTTAGTAGTATGGGTTCCAGCTCTAACCAGGAAAATATAAGATGTGCTATATCACCGTTGTTTCTTAGAGCTGAATAGTACTCCATGGTATACATATACCACATTTTATTAATCCATTCTTGGATTGATGGGCACTTGGGCTGTTTCCACAGCCTTGCAATTATGAATTGTGCTGCTATAAACATTCGAGTGCAGGTGTCTTTTTTGTAGAGTGTCATTGGATCATTTGGGTAGATGCCCAGCAATGGGATTGCGGGATCAAATGGTAGATTCACTTGTATCGCTTTAAGGTATCTCCATATTGCTTTCCACAGAGGTTGAACTAGTTTGCAGTCCCACCAGCAGTGTAGGAGTGTTCTGGGTTGAAGAAATTTTATGCACCTTTAAAACTCTGTGCATTCCTCTGAGAGCATCTGGGAAATACTATTTTCCTTTTCTTCACAGATGGGAAAAGGACAATCTCGAAGCTGAGGTTAAAGCACACAGTAAAGTCAGTAATGCGGCCGTAACAACACACAGTGGTGTGAAGGAACATAGGGAGGAAGGCAAGTGGTGTTGTACTTGGCGATAATCTTCCCTAGTCACTATTTGTGGGTAACTCAGGTATGGTATACACAGCCTGTCCCGCACGCCTGCCATTCACCTGGAGTCATGCAGGTGCCGCCAGGTGCCTATAGACTTTCTGAAAATATATGTATTTCCTACCTGGGCTGCATCTTCCCCAGAAGGATTATTCCACATTGGAGACGAAATGTGACAGAAGGGAAAGACATGCGTCAGAGGACCTGTGGTTTCCTGTTCTGGGCACCCTGGTTCCCTTCGCGTAGCCTCTTTGTCCTGGAGTCTTAGCGGCATGATCGAGAGGTTGGATTGTGGATGAGATTATTCCAGGAGTCTGTTTTTCCTGTCCATTGTCATGATCTCTGACTTATCAATATGTGGCTATTATTATTTATTCTTTCAATCTACTGTAAATGCACTAATTTAAAAAATTAGCCTCATATTAAACAAAAATATCCATGATATATCTATAGGTGGATAGATAGTGTGTGTATACACATACAGGTAATATATGATAAATTAAACATGGTTATCAAAATAAGAAAGGTTGATCTGTGTAGCTCCAGCACTAAGTCCTGCCTCTTCCTAGCTCACACACTACGCTTTGGGCTCGCCTGGATTAGAGGGAGACTTAAGCTTAAATCTCACCTGGGTGCGAAACTCCCTGGGAGATTTGCCTTGCAATGGAGTGTGGTCACAGCAAGTAGGAGGCGAAAGAATGAGTGATGTGGGTCCTGGCACCAGTTGCCACTTGGGTCAGAGTTCAGGGCTTTTAACAGTGTAGGCATCCCTTTGCTGAACTTTGTGGTTAAATCGGAGGGCAAGAGAGTATGTAAAGCCACCATGTCATGGACTCTGTCTTGACTTAGTCACCAAAATGTAGTGAGGGGGCCCTCTCCTTCCTTTAAACAGGCACTCCCTGAAAATAAAGTCCTGCTAGAGTAGAAGAAAGGTTGTTATGCCCAGACCCAAGAAGTTGACACAAGGTTGGCATGCTAATATTTGTCTCCAGTAGAGAAGAAAGGGCCCTGCTAGGGAAATGTTTGAGTAAGTCAACAAGCATGTTGTCTTATGCCAGGGAGAATTTCAAGCCAATCTCTTAAATCTTGACCTAGACCTTAATCTTTAACCCCAGCCTGCTCCCTTATTTTGAAAGCTTGTGGTATTGGCAAACTTCAGTTTGCCAAAGAGACCGTGAAACTAGATGTAGGATGACCATGGCAATCTTGAACGCATGCCTTGTACCTTACGGCAGCGGTCCCCAACTTTTTGGCACTAGGGACAGGTTTCATGGAAGACAATTTTTCCTTCTTCCACAGCCCCAGGGTGTGGGATGCTTTTGCAATGATTCAGGCACATTATATTTATTGTGTGGTCAAACCTCTCTGCTAATGATAATCTGCATTTACAGCTGCTCCCCAGTGCTAGCATCACCGCATCACTCCACCTCAGACCATCAGGTATTGGATTCCCATAAGAAGTGTGCAACCTAGATCCCTCGCATGTGCGGTGTACAGTAGGATTCAAGCTCCTATGAGAATCGAATGCCGCTGCTGATCTGACAGGAGGCGGAGCTTCTGCGGCGACGCCAGCAATGGGGAGTGGCTGTAAACACAGACGAAGCTTTGCTTGCTTGCTCACCTCCTGCCACTCACCTCTTGCTGTGCGGCCCTGCTCCTAACAGGCCATGGACTGGTACCGGTCTGTGGCCTGGGAGTTGGGGACCACAGCCTTACAGCATTCTCAGAACTTTCACACACACCCCTAACAGCCCAGCGGGGCAGGAGCTGTTACTGGTAAACAAGCCAGACGCCAAGGTAACAGGGCAGGTGAACAGTGACCATGCGATTTCATGGGCTCCACTGACAGGAAGCCCGGAGCTCTTGGTCAGTCACAAAGCTTCCACACAGTGGTCTGATTTCAACTCCAGATTGTAAATATCATCATATCATATATTCACGATATCATTATGTGCAGGTCTGGGCTTCATCATTTTATTGCCACACCTGTGTGGGACGGGCATATGGGAACAGCCTGTAATGTAGTGGGGGGGGGTTACTTGGGCAGTGTTGCCTTTTGGCTGCACTCCAGGGATTGCCAAAGCATGGGTCACAAACCACCTGCATCAGATTCACCTGAGGGGCTGTTCCAGACCCTCTGACTCTGCACTGGAGGTGGGGGTTGAGTCTGCACATGCAACAAGGACTGCAGGTGATGCTTGAGGGAGCCTGCCCTTCGCAGAGAAAGTGGATGCACTTGCTCTCTGTTTGTGAAGGGACTGGCTTGAGTTAGGGCCCCAAATCTGGGGCTGGGGAAGTGTGGCATGGGAAGGGTATATATGTATAATACTGTTCCCTCTCCTTCACCTTTTTTGGGGGGAACACTTTTCCTGTCTCTATAGATGTCCTGGCTCATCTCAGAAAGATGGTGGGTGAAGTGGAGATAGACAACATTAGGAAAGCAGTTTGGATTTCCTATAGTCCTACAATTCTGCTCTGGGCATCTCAGTATGGGGAGAAAGGTGAGCCCTAGGTCTGGTGTAGCTATAATTAACTGCCTGGTGCATAGGCTTCTCCATGAAGAGTTGGAAGGGAACTCAGCCTCTTAATCTATATCTCCATCCACGAATCCATCCTTCCATCCATCCATCCATCCATCCATGCATGCATGCATCCATCCATCTTTTCATCCATTCATCAATCCATCCATCTATCCATGCATCCATCCATCTATCTATTCATCCATCCATCCATCTATCCATCCATCCATCCATTCGTCCATCCATCCATCTATCCATCCATCCATCCATGCATGCATCCATCATCGTTTTTTTTTTTTTTTTTTTTTTTTTTTTTTTTTCTTTTTTTTTTTTTGTTTTTTTTTTTTTTTTTTTTTTTTTTTTTTTTTTTTTTTTTTTTTTTTTTTTTTTTTTTTTTTTTTTTTTTTTTTTTTTTTTTTTTTTTTTTTTTTTTTTTTTTTTTTTTTTTTTTTTTTTCATCCCATCCATCCATCCATCCATGCATGCATGCATCCATCCATCCATTCATCAATTCATCAATCCCTCCCTCCCTCCATCCATCCATCCATCACTTGTTCCTAATATGTTCCAGGAGCTTAGGATATAAGAAAAATAAGACATAGCCTGTGATCTTGAGGGCCCTAAGCCCAGTTTAGACAGTAGCAGATATAAGAAGAAATGAAAGCAACAACAGTTGATTTCATAGACATTTGAGATGGCAACGAATGTGAGATATTAATAAAAAGGAAGCTGTTAAAATTATTTAGCATTTCTTAATGCCTTAGGAGAAAACTTTGTAAACCATTTCAGGTAATGTAGAGAAACTTTGCACAAAGGGCGAAAGACAAATTTATATTATATCATTCTTCAAAGTATGAAGTTCCCTGAATTTTAGCACTTGTTTTTGGACAAGCCTGTGGATTATTCTCCTGTTAGATTCTTGCTCCTGAGCCAGCATCCAGGTGGCTACGGAGTGTAGACACCAGGGCATGAGTGATCATTCTAACCATTCCTATAACTTATTCTGAGCATTTAACTTTGACTCAGGAACAGCAAGCTATAATTGCCAGGTCAATTTTCAAGGGAAATTCTAAGGAAGAATATCCAAGAGCTATTTTTCAACTCTAGCCTCTGGTTCCAAAGTGGTGGATGGCTGTTGATTTCAAAGCAAGCCCTCTGTTCCTTCATAGGAAGTCTATCACTTTAATATTTTCTAATGACTAGTATCTAATAAAATAGTATGCATTTACACCGAGATACCACCCAAGCACGAAGGGTTGAGTGACAGACTTTTGTTGAATAGCAATTAACAGTTAAACAGATCAACTTAAATGTTTGTAGTGTGGCTTCCACGCGGTTCAGCGGGGAGGGGCAAAACGTCAGATCAGGACTTGGGAACATCAGTGTAGTTCCCCCAAGCCAACAACGGGGCAGCACTCTCCAACGGGACTTTCTGTGACGACGGAAATGTTCTACGTCTGCAGCGATTGAGCACTTGAACCGTGTCCAGTGCGACTGAGGCACTGATATTTAACAGCACATAATTTTAATTAATTTAAATTTGAGTTTACATAACCCCGTGAAGGCAGTACTGGATAGCTCTGGCTGAGACATGACAGCAAAAAAATCAAAATGGCTTTTTCTTCTCTCTCTCCCCCTCTCTCTCCACATGCTCTTTCATTTCCTGCTAGCTCTGCCTTCCCTTACCCCCTTTTCTCCCAACTCCGTGACTGCTGGATGGAATAGGAGGGCAAAGCAGACGCCAAGCAAGGTGGCTCCTGAGGAGCTGGGCGAGGAATGAAGTTGCCGGTGGGGCTTGGGTGGGGCTGCGGTAAAAGCCACCCACCTAAGGTCCTTTAGAGGTGACCCTCCCTTGGTTTGTGCTGGTTTCCTTTGGGCTCTGGCGTCTCGGTGGGTGGGGACATGGCAGCAAGAACCGAATGTCACTCTTCCGGTCTAGTCCAGCAGTAGCTGCGCAATTAGTGTCTCTTGACTAGAGGATGTCTGAGCGTGACAGTCACTCCTGCCACCATGGGAGTTGTCACCCGGCCCAGTCTTACCTACCTCTCAGGAATGCTAGAGGCGTTCACGAGCTAACACCTGCCCCGGGTGACTGAGCAGTTATTTACCGGCAGGAATAAGCATTATGACGGAAGATACTGTAGCGTTTTGAGTAATTAAACACACTAAAGTCAAGTTAGCCGATGACACTTAGCTGTGGCAGGTGGAATTGTAATTGTTATCATCTTATTAGAAGACATAATAATTTATAGTGTGGCAGAATCTGTGATTCTAGACAGTGCAAAAGCATCACTGAGATATTTGTCTTCCTCCTTTTGACCTTATAGGCAGTACTGATGATCCAGACACATCACTGCCTACCTGGGCCATAGTTCTACTTGCAGTGTTGTCTTCATTGCTTTTGATCCTGATAATTGTTCTGATTATAATATTCTGCTGCTGCTGTGTCTCCGGGACAGAGAAAAAAGGTAATTTGCTTTGTTCATATAGATTTGTGTGCGTGTTTGACCCTGCGATACGAGCAGTTGAAGTTAATGAGCTTGCCAGCTCTCTCCAAAAATGCATTCACCACCATGAGGTCTCACCTCACACCTGTTACAATGGCTATTACAAAACGATGAAAGCTCGGCACTCGTGAGGATGTGCAGAAAAGGGGGCCCTTGCACCCTGTTGGTGGGTGTGTAAATTGGTGCAGCCATCATGGAAAGCACTGTGAGTTTACCCCCAAAATTAAAAATAGAACTGCCACATGGTCCAGCAATCCCACTGCTGGGTCTACATCCGAAGGAAACGAAATCAGTTATGTCCAAGTGTTCTACCTTCACTGCAGCATTATTTACAACAGCCAAGGTAAGGAATCTACCTATGTGTCCGTCAGCAAAAAAATACATAAAGAAAACGTGGTGCCTATACACAGTGGATTATTATGCAGCCTTGAAAAAAGACGAAAATCCTTCTCAGGTAGCATGAGGGGGGGAAAAAAAAAAAGAAGAAGAAAATTCTGTCATTTGTGACAACATGGATGGACCTGGGGCACATCATGCTAAGTGAAATAAGCCAGACACAGGAGAGACAAATACAGAATGATCTCAATTATATGTGGAATCTAAAAAAGTCAAACTCATGGAAACAGAGAGTGGAATTGTGGTTACTGGGGGATGGGAGTCCGGGGCAGATGGGGAGATGTCAGTGAGAGTAGAAAGTTTCAGGTAGGCAGGAGGAAGAGTTTCTAGAGACCTGTTGTACGGCATGGTGGCTGTAGTTAATAACGATGCATTGTATACTTGAAAATTGCAAAGAGGATCGGTCCTAAATGTTCTCACCACAAAAAAATGATAAGCCTGTGAGGTGATGGATATGCTCATTAGCTTGATGTAATCATCTTACAGAATATGCATACATCAAAATATCACATCATACATCATAAATGTATGCAATTTTTATTTATCAGTTATGTCTTAATAAAGCTGAGAAAACAACAACAAAACAAAAACAAAAACACAAAAGATACATTGGCTTTCAGAGTCCTTGATAGGAACTACGGGAAGTTTATAGGGAAGGAAAGGACTTTCTTTTTTTTTTGAGACAGAGTCTCACTTTGTTGCCTGGATTAGAGTGCTGTGGCGTCAGCCTAGCTCACAGCAACCTCAAACTCCTGGGCTCAAGCAATCCTTCAGCCTCAGCCTCCCGAGTAGCTGGGACTACATCTCTTCATCCCTCCATCCCACACCCTTCTCAACCTCTGGTAACTGTCATTCTACTCTCTACCTCCAGGAGATCAATTCTTTGGCACCCATATGTGAGTGAGAATTTATGATCTTTGCCTTTCTGTGCCTGGCTTATTTTACTTAACACAATGACCTCCAGTTCCATCCATGCTGCTATAAATGACAGGATTTCATTCTTTTTTATGGCTGCATAGTTTTTCATTGTGTTATGTATATATTTTCTTCATTAATTCGTATGCATCAATGGGCACTGAGGTTGATTCCACGTCTTTGCTATTGTGAATAGAGCTGAAATAAACATGGGGGTGCAGGTATCCCTTTGATACACTGATTTTCTTTCCTTTGGATAGATATACAGTGGTAGGATTGCTGGATCATAGTTCTAATTTTAGTTTTTTGAGAAATCTCCTTATTGTTTTCCACAGTGGCTATTCCAGTTTATATTTCCACCAACAGTGTATAAGTGTTCCCTCTCTGCGTATCCGTTTTTGTCTTTTTGATAACAGCCATTCTAACTGGGGTTCAGTGATATCTCACTGTGGCTTTGATTTGCATTTCCCTCAAGATTAGTGATGTGGGACGTTTTTTTCATGCACCTGTTTGCCATTTGTATGTTTTCTCCTGAGAAATGTCTATTCAGGTCCTTTTCCCAATTTGGAATGAAATTATTTGTTTTTTGCGGTTGCATTGTTTGAGTTCCTTGTATATTCTGGATATTAGTTCCTTGCTGAATGAATATGTGGATATTTTCATCCATTCAACAGGTTGCCTCTTCACTTTCCTGATTGTTTCCTTTCCTGTGCAGAAGCGTTTTAGCTTAATATAGTCCCATTTGTCTATTTTTTGTTGTTGTTGCCTAGACTTTTGAGCTCTGAGCCATAAAATCTTTGCTTAGACCAATGTCCTGAAGCATTTCTCCTGTTCTATTCTAGTAGCTTTATAGTTTTGGGTTGTATGTTTAAGTCTTTAATTCATTTTGAGTTGATTTTTGTATATGGTGAGAGATAGGGGTCTAATTTCATTCTTCTGCATATGGATTTCCAGTTTTCCTGGCACCATTTATTGAAGAGACTGTCCTTTCCCCGATGTCTTGGCACCTTTAAAAAAAAAAATCAATTGTCTGTAAATATGTAGATTTATTCCTGGGTTCTCTAGTCTGTTTCATCTCTGATATAACTTTATGCCCTGGGAATCAGAAATTGAAAGGTGAAAAGGTGAAAACTCTGGTTGATCTAGATTAGATGGGAATTGGTTTTCACCTGGGAATAATCCCATATGCCAGAGATGGGTCAGTCAAATGAAATACACTGGATTTTACATGAAAACTATTGAATAACTTAAATTTTAATCAAGACATGACTATTAATTGTTCAGTGCCTTCAGATTATTATTTTCAACCTTAGCCATTGTGGAATAGTTGGAGAAATTCTGGTCATTTGGACATTCTGCCTCCCTTAGGCTGTTGTCTGTTCTGTACTAGCTTTGTAAAAAGGTTAATTGACAGTTGGTGGCTCCCACAGGATGTGCAAGGGGCAATTTTTAGTTTTCTCATTTACAAAACTGGAATAAGTACTATCCTATAGACAGATTGTAAGAATTAAATAAATTGCTTATTGAAAGTTTTTGTGATCCATCTTAGATTTTACCCTTTATTTATCTTTGAGATGAAAAGCCCATGTAAGAGTGAGCTGTCCCACCCTACCCCTTCATAGTAAGTCCAGGTACGGGCTACAGTCAGGGCCTGCCATGACCTACTTACAATGCCCACCTGCCCCACCAGGTGTGATTCACAATGGAAACTATACTATACCTTAACATAAGTGTGAAGATAAATAAAGGTCAGGATTTTCCCATGAGGATTATTTCAATGCTTAAAATGTATCAAACATCAAATTTCTCCAGAAATTATTTTATGTTGCTCTGCTGGTACCCAGAGAATTCTCAGTGTGCCAACTGGTTAATTAGGACCAACTGAGAAGAGCTGAAGTCTTGGGATGGTGGCATTCCAGAGGGAGGGACCTAAGACCCCTCTCTTCTGCCTTATGGGAACACTGGAGGCCTTCCCCTATCACTAGGGGCATTGCCCTATTACCTGACAGTCTCTCTCCTGCAATTCAGATAAAAATATTTCCAAAGGTTGATTTGGAATGTAAATTGGTAGATGTTATTAGAACTAAAAATACCTGAGAACATTATCTAAACCATAAGGAAAAGGGATATTTTTTAGATCTCAGTCGAACTGGACATATGGAAGCCGGGATGGGAAAGGATAGCTGCAATGAACACAGGCTTTAGAGACTCTTGGGTGAGGACTTCGTCTATGGCTTGTCGCTCCCTGTCTTCAAATTCTAGATTCTCCAGTCCATCAATCCATTGAGTAAAAACATTAGTGATTTAATGATAGCTTTTTTGGGGGGGAAGGGCACAATTGTATGAATTGATACCATTGGTTCACACTGATTAAAAATATACCTTAGCATTAAAGAAATATGGTAATACTAATATAATAGAGCCCAGTCTGTTAAAAATGTGATCACAGTAATGCCTACTCTTATGTTGTTGTAACAATTAAATGAGATATTACTTTGCAAAAAGCCAGCATGGCACTGGCTCACGGTAGGTGCTGAATGAATAGCAGCGGTGACTGGTAGCACATAGCAGCTCCTCTTGGCGAATGGAGTCTTTAAAAATCTTGCTAATCAAATCAAATTCAATATTCACTAAGTACCTACTGGGTACCTACTGTATTTCAGGCATCTAGGGATTATTTATTTTTCTGATAGTTAATAGTGAATTTTACTTTCTGTATGCTTGGAAGCCACTTGATAATTTGGTGTGGGGGAACTTAATAATACCTATTGGCTCACAAATGTGGGGTCTATTAAAATCAGGGAGTCTATAAAAATCAGTGAGATTTTTATAGATTTTTTTTTTTAGAATAAGTATCCTGATTTTTCTAATGTGGTTTTGTTCTTTTTTGCAGAGTCTAGTTATCAAAGTGAAATAAGGTAAGTTTGAAATCATATCTATCTTCTGAAAACAGAAACCAAACAACCAAACAACAACAGCAGCACACACAAACACAACTGTGGGATTTTAGGATTTATGTTGCTCAAAATTAAGTACTGAGGCCGGGCGCGGTGGCTCACGCCTGTAATCCTAGCACTCTGGGAGGCCGAGGCGGGCGGATTGCTCAAGGTCAGGAGTTCGAAACCAGCCTGAGCAAGAGCTAGACCCCGTCTCTACTATAAATAGAAAGAAATTAATTGGCCAACTAATATATATATAGAAAAAATTAGCTGGGCATGGTGGCGCATGCCTGTAGTCCCAGCTACTTGGGAGGCTGAGGCAGCATGATAGCTTGAGCCCAGGAGTTTGAGGTTGCTGTGAGCTAGGCTAATGCCACGGCACTCACTCTAGCCTGGGCAACAAAGCGAGACTCTGTCTCAAAAAAAAAAAAAAATTAAGTACTGAAAATAGACAACTCTGAAAAACACGTATGTCCTTCACAAACTCAGAGGGCAACATTACTTGTGGGGTGAAATAGCAGGGCTGCTGTTGCCTTCTTTTGACTTGCTCTGGCTCCCTTAGGGAAAGGATTTTCTTAGTGTTTGGCATTTGCAAGTCTTTCCACAAGAGGACACTGTGCACCATGCCTGTCGTCTTTCCTGAGCTGAGTCGGGGCTAGGGCGCGGCTGAGGCCCCGTTGGGATTTCTGGGGCATCGAAGAACAGGGAGCCCGGCCGGACGCCTGCCAGGCACATGGAACTGTCCAGGCAGACAAATTAGGCAGTTTGTTCAAACAAGCCAGGAGGGCAGGACTGAAAAATTCCTCTCATTCCCAGGCTGCACAGAAGTAGCTGCAAGCACTTTTAAGGTAACTATGTCAAGGACTCGAGACTGTATACAATAACCACTTTAAACATCTGCACTGTTTACAAAGTCATCAATGCACCAAGGGGAGTGGTTTGGTGTGGGTGTTATAACAACCACATCTTGTTTTTGGTATTTTATTAGATAATTTAGATTTTTTTTTATTTCGGCATATTATGGGGGTACAGATTTTAAGGTTTCAACAAATGCTCTTTCCCCCCTAGATTTTTTTTTAAGTGCTGAGATTTTAAAGTGCCTTCTGGCTACAGACTGTGAATGAATGTGCATAGCCACAGTGTGACAGACACTGTCCATCCCCCCTCTGACCCCCGACAGTGATGAAGCTGTGACTGAGGACACCACAAAGCAGCAAATTTGAAAACAGACCTCCCGTGGGGCCTGACTCAGGGCAGGGGAGAAGGAGGGAACATTGACCCGTATAATTATTCCGGCTTTTCCGATTGCTGCTACCGGCAGGATCAAAGCCTGCATTCTTCGGTTCACCGTTATTGACTGCACCATCATCTTTCATTTCTGTTTCCTGGGGTCTTAGGTGGTTTCAAAGCACAGTACAGCAATCAACAGCTCATTAGGATAACGAGCACAGAAAAACAACAACCAAACTAAAAATAGTATCCTGACAGTGGTAGGGATGATAGCTAGCATAGCTATTAGCACCTAATAGGTAGCTAATAGCATACTAGTACCTAAGGCACATGCTAGGTGCTGCCCTAAGCTCTGTAGAGGTTTTGATCCTACTTAATTCTCACAATGATTTTTTCCATTCTGTAGATGAGGAAACTGAGATACAGAGAGGTTAAGTAATATTTCCGGTGTTTCCTGCCTGGACAGTGGGCGGGTGGGAGTGCGACTGGTCAGCCCTGCGTGGGGGCCTGGCCTTTCGCCGCTGTACAGCCTTCCGCCCTTAGGAAGACAGGGTGGCCCACTGGCTGGTCACACCCCACCTGCTTTTCCTATCCCCTGTGTCCACGGTGCGGAACTCTAGCTGCTCAAAGACTTCTTTTGCATTAAAATAACAAATACATCTCTTAGTGGACCCATGCATGTTTATTGTAGAAAAATACTCACTATAAAGATAGGCTTAAGAAATAGCTTTAAAATCACCCACAGTTCTATTGTGCAGAAGTAAGCATCATTACCTAAGTGTGAGAGCACTTACACACATATGTGTTCGCCCATAGATGTGCCCACATCTGCATTTTGTAAAATTCGCGTCGTAATAAACATTATTTTGTAGCTTGCTCTTTTCACTCGACACATTCTGAGCATTACTACTATAAGCCAATAGTTTCCCACACAGTTTTGTTTCATTTGTTTGATGAAGTTTTCTTTTTAATTGAAATGTAACTTAAGTACAGAAAAGTGCACAGGTCACGGGTGTGTAGCTCGATGAATGTTCACAGAGCGCACAAGTCTGACCTTGGCGGCCAAAATTCAGAGCTGGAACATCCTCAGTGTCCCAGAAGTGACCTGGACCCCCGTCCAGTCGCTGCCTGCCCTCCTCCCTAAAGGTGATCTTCCTCTGACGCCTTTTCCCACTTCCCCGGAGATCAGACTCCTATAAACTTTACGGAAGTGAGATCGCGTTGTGTGTGTGCCATTTTACGTCACGGACTTGAACATCCGCAGACTTTGGCATCCATGGGGGGCTTTGGAGCCAACCCCCATGAATGCCGAGGGAGACTGTATCTAGTCCTGGAAGTGGGCCCAGAGGGCGGGCACATGCCTAGCTCTACAGGACACTGCCGCAGGTCTCCAAAGTAGATGCATCAGTTCACACTTCCCCCGGCAGTGCCTGAGAGCTCTCCCCTTGGCCATTTACACAGGTGGCGTGGAATTCCACGTTACAGACGGTCACCATTTATTTTACTGATCTGCTATTGTTGGGCACCGGGGTGGTTTGCAGCTTTTGCTTTTACAAATAGCTCATGAATTAACATTCTTTCAAGTAAATCTTTGTACTTATCCTTGATTATTTCCCTAGAATAAATTCTCTCTTTTTTTTTTTTGAGACAGAGTCTCACTCTTTCACCTAGACTGTAACCACGTGGACCCGGTATCCATTGGTGATTAACACATGACTTTTTAAAATGGTCTAATTCTAGGAAATCTGCAAGTGCGAAGACAGACAAAGGAACTTCTGACACAAACTTAAAAAGTGGAAACGAAAACTATGGCTACAGTTCAGATGAACCAAAGACCACACGTGAGTGGAAAGCGGGATGGTAGAAAGATCTGGAAATGAGAGTGTTGGCTGAGGGCTGGCTACCTAGGCACCAGCTGCACAAGGAGAATAATGTAGCCGTTGGTGGTGATTGTTTTTTGGATACTTTTTAGAAGAAGGAAATATTCCAGAACTAGGAATATTCTAGGAGTATGTTTTTTTGTTGTTGTTGGTTTTTTTTTTTTTTTGAGACGAGTCTCACTCTGTTGCCCGGGCTAGAGTGCCATGGCTTCAGCCTAGCTCACAGCAACCTCAAACTCCTGGGCTCAAGCGAGCCTCCTGCCTCAGCTTCCCGAGTAGCTGGGACTACAGGCATATGCCACCATGCCCAGCTAATTTATATATAATATAGATTATAATATTATTATATATAATCTATATTATATATATATAATATATATAATAAAATAAATTATATATTAGTACATATATAATATATATTTATATATAAATATATAACATATATATGTATATATTTTTTTAGTTGCCCAGCTAATTTCTTTCTATTTTTCTTAGCAGAGACGAGGTCTCACTCTTGCTCAGGCTGATCTAGGAGTATGTTAACAGTAAAATTCCACTTTTTTTTTGTCTAAGGCATAAAATAAAGTCAGGAGAACACCTGAAAGTTTTAAAACATAATTTTCTGGTTTCCCCCACCCCATGCTTTCTCCTTCTTTAAAGGCTTCGACCGACCTTAAAGCGTGTGGGGAGGCATTTTAATACACTGGGGGGCATTCCCTCCAAACTGCAACTAGATTCAAGTTAAACAGAAACCCAGCAAGAGATCTGTTCCTCCTCAACTTAACAGGGTGTGGGGGGCGGTGCTAGAAGACTAGACGCACTTTTGAAGAGTCTTGAGTGGAATCTCATTTTCCTGCCTTGAGACGACACAGTCACAGCGGGGTGGGGACGTCTCTGACGGCAATGTCACTGTCACAAGGCAGCAGCAGCCTTCGGATTTCAAAGGCAGACGAGGGAGGAAGGCTGGACACGTCAACTCCTTCTTTGAAAGGGAGACCTGGCCCTAACGAGCCGCCTGGAAAAACAAATTCCATGGGAAGATTTGCAGCCAATCAACTGCTGCCCAGGGGCCTGGAAACATCTTTTTTCACTAATCTTGGGAGTCTGTTCTGGGCAGCCCCATTCCCTGGGTTACGCCACGCTGCTTTCTGTGTCATGGCAAATCACGCGCTTCGGATTTTCACACATTCCACAAAGCACGAGCTGTTTCTGCAGATAATCTGACCACAGCTTCTTGCAAAGGTTCCCGTGGGGGAATATTATTCATTAGTATTTTGAGCACTTGATCAAGTATCTTGACCGAAAAATCATGGCCCGGGTCAAACCTCTCGGCCTTCCTCCCCACCACCCCACTTGTCCAAAGTTTATTTTCCTTGGTCACCTCTTGAAGGAAGAAGCTGTGGACTCATCTCTCCTCTGGAGGAGACCAACGTGTCAAGAAAGGAATTGATTTTGAGTCAGTTTTTCATCTTTTCATTTAACTGAAAACATGGCATCCTAAAAGTATGTAATCTCAAGTGAATTTTTTAAAAAGTCTATTTGTGGTTAAGGATTATTTTATGCCAGGGGTGCTACGCAGAAACAAACATGTTTCTTTATAAATCAGGAGTGTTAGGCTATGTAGCTTGGTTTTGGTCACTTATGGCTCTAAAGTCATTCTTCTGTTGCAGAGATTGCTTCTCCCACTCCCAAGGCCCGCGGAGTCAGCGTTCTGGAAAGAAGTAGCAGTAGACATCCTTATCAGGTAAGCCAGACCATCATTTCCACCCCCTCTTTTTGGAATTTTTTTTTTTTTTTTGGCCATTTACAAGTCCTTACCTGTGGTAGGTGATTATAGCATGGTGCACGTTGTATAGTCAGGATGGAAGAACATTGCCTTTTCTGGTGGGCCTGGAGGGGTGGGTCTGAGACATGGAGACTCTCTCAGCAGGGCCCTAAGACCAAGGCTGGTGCCCTGTAACAGCTCTGTGTGCATGTTTCGGGAAGATGAGGCTTGATTTGGGACATATTCCATCCGGGTCAGCACGTATAATGTACCATCTGTTCCCTTTGAGCCGAGTTCTCCCGGGACTCCGGTCAACTCTGCCCTCCTCGTGGCCCAGCACCCACACGATAGGCTTCTAGAGTTGGAAGGATGCTGGGGCCTGGGTTTGAGGACCAGGACAGAGAAGAGTGGCTTGGTCTCCATGCAAGATCAGTGCCAGTGAGCTCCAGAGCTGGACAAACCCTGTTGGGGGGTTAGAATTTTAGGGGAAGGAGGAGGAGTCCCTGACGATTAAGGAATGTGGCCGGAACCACGAGGAGGCTGGAGTTGCCACCAACTGAGATGGGGAATGTTGTGGGAAGCGTAGGCTTCGGGGAAACATCCGGCATTTAATTTGGGGCTTATAGATTTTGTGGTATGTGTTAGACGTTCACATGGAGACATCGAGTGTGCAGTTGGGTGCACACGTCTGGAGCTCCAGTGGGAGGCCTGAGCTGCAGACATGCTTGGTCATTATGCGATGTTTTCACGGCTGCTGTCCTTTTGCAGGCCGGTTAACTGAAAGCCAGTGGTCAGCTGGGAGCCCCTGAGGACATCGTGTGGGAATTTTCTGATGCAGAGTCAGCATGGGTTATCATATGTGCATGCATTAGAGCTTATAAGCAGAAAATGAGATTTTTTTTAATATCCAAAATTATATTTATATGAAATATGTATAACCAGCACCCTTTTCTGACCTGTACAAATGCAACCTCAAGCAAGAAGTATTTCCATGCGGTTCTGTGGTGGTGTCCCCCAGTAAGTGTGGATGTTTTCCCCTTTTCACTTTCGGAAAAGCTCAACTCGCAGACCGGGTTTCTAACAGCACGCTGGGCCAGACGGTCTTGGGTTTGTGCTGCTGGGAGTCGCTCTTCCCCCGGGGAACAGTGCCCAGCATGCGCCGGTGCAACCCCGGACTATGCTTTCTTGACATTGGCGTTCACTCGGGTTTCCAGGCAGCTCCGGGCTGTAATGCCCCTCCCTGCAATTAGGAGTCGGCTCGATATATGCATCTCGCCGGGGACATGCGCCTTTCGGGCCCGTCCGGAGGAAGGCGAGTGCTGGCTGATGCTCCACCGTGTGTCGGGAGGTCCCACGTGATGTTATTAGTGGCAACACAGGGCACCAGGCGGAAAGACATATGAGGGGTCTGGGGCACAATAGAAGACGGGCCTCGGTGACAAACTGCCAGCTCCCAGTGTGAGCTGTAACTACCCTCCTCAGGCGGGTCTCAGGAAAGAGGAGAGGTCAGTCTCTTGCCATCACGGCTGCTCTCTTTGGCGCATATACCTTTAATGCATCTAATTTGGAGCTGGGAGCGTGACAGGTTTCTTTTAGAAGGACCAGTCTCTGGCTGAGCGGTGGCGGGTGGAAGGGAGTGACTGTTGTGCTAGGAAGGATGTCGCGTGTCGGGTCTCCCATGGCAGGGCCTGGCTGGGGCTTGCAGGCCCATGTAAGGGCAGGGTTGCCTGAGGGGTTCTCTCCCACCCAGCTCCAAGCATGGACACCCCAAGAACACATTTAAGCCAACTGTTATTTCCGTGGCCTTTCTGTAGTTACCTTTTGGTGTCAGATACGTTTTCACTACACAAGCCATCGTGCTCCGGTCTGGGGTGGTGGGGACAGGGGTAGGCTGGGAGGAGATTCAGCACAGGGTCATGTCACATAATTCCCTTTGCAACACATCAAGTGTAAACTAGGAGAAGGGACTCGAGATGCCTATAGATACAGGGATGGAGAATGACGTTTCGGAACTCTGAGTGGGTGCTTCTTAAAGCTTGTAGCGTTGCTTTGGATATATGCAGGAGGAGAAATTTAAGAGGTTTCTGCTACTGAAACATGTAACCAGCTAAATAATCTATGGGTGGAAAAAGAGCAGTGGCCATGGGGGTGCTGAGCCCTGAGGACTGGTAACACACACTGGTGTGTCTTGTGGTGGGACAGGTCTTCTCGGGTGGCTGTTGCCTGGCTACAGGTCATCCCGGCAGAGAGCATCTCGGGCCTTAAGAAACCAATCAGGACTCCCGGAGGATGAATTGTCTCTGCCTGTGCTGGAAACTGCTGAGAGTCATTAAATAGCTGGACCTTCCCACTTACAGACGGGGACCTTCAACACGAGCACCATTCTGGAGAAGTCAGTCTTCGCTTATGACCCAAGGGTGCCTTTGCTGGCACGAGCCAGGCACTGTCTCCAGGTGGCCCGTCTGGAGAACCTGGACCCAGGACGTGCCCTGGACTGTGCTTCTCCGGAAGCACCTGGAGGAGGAAGGAGCAAGACGGCCACGGAGGAAGGGCCGGGCTCAGGAACTCATGTCCTTGGCCCAAAGAGGGCAGTGTCTTTTGTGTGGTCCCTTGACTTCCTGGGAGCTGCCAGAGTGGCTAAGCCACGGCTGCAGAAGCAGGCCAGCTGCCCGGTCTATGTCGCCACGTCCCTGCTGCCCAGGCCGATCCTTCCGCAGGACCCCTTAGTGCAAGGTGGAAGGACAGTGCAGTTGGCGCCTCCTCTTCTCAGAACCTCTCTCCATCCTGCACGGAGCCTTGCTCCCTAAAGGCCCAGGAAAGGCAGCTGAGAGCTATTATGAGCCCCTTCTCATCCGTCCCTTCATCCTTCCTGCATGCCTCAGTGTGACTTCAATTTGTCACTGAGACCCCCATGCTGCTGCCGGGTGTTCCCACACACATGCACCTCTTGGGCCCAGAGCTGGCGCCCAGTAGGATTCCTGCCTGAGAAGCTGGCAGAGCATTAGAGTTTGTGGTGGTCGACCGCAGATTGCAATATTTGTAGAAGACCCGCACCAGGCTACGGTCCTGCAACGCCTGTCGGTTAGCTGGAAAGACCTCAAGCCGCGAGTCAGCCCACAGCAAACGCTCTCGCCTGTCCTGGTTGCTGCGGAGCTGGTTGGCCGGATGAATGGCCTATCCATGGAGATGCAGCTCGCATCGTAGCAACTGGAACTCCTGCTCTGCATCTTGGCGCAGGACAGCCTTGGCTTTGCAACCAGCACAGCGACTGCTGAGCGTGTGCACTTGCTCTCTGTGCGTGCCGGGGATCTGTTTGCTCTCAGCATTTTCAGAAGATCTCTACTAAGGGATGGCCTTGACTACACACGGTCTAGCACAGCCTTCCTAGGTGCCCAGCAAACAGTTATTCATTAAAGTGGATGCTATCTTCCCCGCCCAGCACCATGCTATCACAAGCCAGGCACTCCAAGGAGCATGCATGTGCTTTTAGACATAGTTCCTTTGCTGTCAATCACAATCCAGTTATGACAAAAAATATTGTTAGACCACCATAGGTGAACCTACAACCTAAAAATAAGCATTAAATGTGCGTCAAGGCAGGGAAGTCTGAAGTGGCAGGGGCTGCCCACAGGGTTTGGGATGCTGGGATTTGTGGTTCTCACCCTGGGACATCCGGGCTCACAAGGGCCAGGGAGGCGTCCGAGCGTCTCTGCTTTTTAGTGCAACTTGGTGCATTTATGACACGTGGCCAGGTGTAAGGGTTACTGGTTACCTCGCAGCAAGATGGGAATGGGGCTTTCTGGGAAGGGAAGAGTGGCAGGTCCCCAGACACCAACTTCCCTCCTTCACCTGTCACCTGTGGTCACCCTTCACCAACTCACCTGTCTTTACCCTGCCTGATGGGCACTCAACAGTTCCACCGTCTTGGCGTCCCAGGGCACTCGTGATGATCTGAGCTCAGCCACGCTGGAGGGGCTTGTGCTGGACCCTAGCAGGCATTGATGGTGCCCGTGCTCCTGCCCCTTTGCCCGGGATCCCGTGACTCCAAGAGGCAGAGGGAGTCTAGGTGCTGAGCCCGGGAGTCTGTGATGACACCCAGCTCAGGCTGTGCACGGCATTGTGAGGAGGAGGCAGCGTTTCTGGGTTCCTGGTGCCCCCACCTTCAAAGCTGCACCCTCCAGTCCATCCTCCCTGAGTTCTGCACACTGCTGTCTACATTTCGAGTCTGCTGTGAGCTTCTGCATGCCACATCTTTATCACAAATCACCCAGCACAGTTTTAATTACATCCAACCATTACTAAAACAGGAAACTAGCATTTTTTTTTTTTTTTTTTTTTTTTTTTTTGAGACAAGGTCTCACTCTGTTGTCCAGGGTGGAGTAACTGGAGCTACAGGCACATACCAACATGCCTGGTTAATTTTTTTTAAAAAAAATTTTGTAGAGATGGGGTCTCACTATGTTTTCCAGGCTGGCCTTGAACTCCTGGCCTCAATTGATCCTCCTGTCTCAGCCTCCCAAAGTGCTGCAGGGATTTCAGACATGAGCCACTTGACATGGAAACTAGAATTGTAATGTTTTAGGAAGGAGCAGAAAACTTCACTGGCGGCTGCACCAGCCTCCCATGACTCTTGCCCCTTCACCTCCTTTTGGTTAAGGTCCAGAACGCCATGGAGGAAGCAAGGAGAGATGTGGGGACAAAACCTTTTGTTGTGTCCTGATGCTTCCATGCTGGCCCTTTTTAGAGAACTTCAGAAGGGTGGGGCTTGTCGCAGGGCAGCCTCACAGGACAGACCGCAGGTTGGAGTTTTGTCCCACAGATGGCCAGCCACCGTGGCCAGGAGCTGTGTGGACGATGGCTGGCGTGGGTCAGGTCCACCAGGTGACGCTGGGGTGCAGACAGTGGGGAGAGTCACCAGTTCCCCAGCACGTGGCCTGGAGCCCCCTCTCCTGGTCACCCCACCTGTCAGCCCCGTCCCCTGCCAGGTTCCTCCCTGAACATGAGACTTTCTACTCCAGAAATGGGACAGTCCTCGTTCCTGCCACCACCTGGCAGAGACGGGAGATGTGTTTCCTGAATCCTGGATCCCGGTTTTCCTAAGGAATGCTTGCCCAGCATGGAGGTGCCCTTAGTACCTGTAGACACCTGTACCTTGGGACCCTGCCAGCTTAGTGCGCATTCTCAACATAGAATACACCGGAAGCACCCTGGGCATGTGTTAAAATGCACACTCTTGGGCCTCTTCTGGACTATTCTGGATCAGAATCTCTGGGACGTAGGGCCAAAGAATTCGTATTTTTACACGTTCTCCAGGTGATCTGTTTTGGGGAAAATGTTTCTGAGGCCCGGTGTGAAAACACAACAGATGTAGATAGCAAAGTTTCTAAGGGAGAGCATTCTCTGGTTTCTAGACGTTTTCTTATAACTGTGTGTTAGAATTACTTGGAACGCATGTCCCTGCCATATCGACCTTGCTGCAAAGCACAGGGAGGGGTTTGAGATGCTTATGGTGGTGCCGTGATCAATGCTCAATGAAAGATGCTATATACTCCACCGTCCATGTGGCATCTTGGTGGGGCATGCTTTTTAAACCTCCCATATTTAGGATGGGTCCTAAAGCACGTGGCATTCCATACAGATGAAAGAAATAGGACTTTAGGCCATAGAGACCCCAGGTTATGCATTGAATAGTATGAAGGATCAGAAGGAAAAAGAGAGATGGGTTTTCAAAACTGACATACACAAACATGTGGCATTTTTCTTCTCTGATTATTTCCACTATGACAGAATCTAGACTTAGGATATATAATACATTATTTTCTGGACAAGGGTTTCTGTTGGTAAAATAGAGTTAACTCATGTGTGACAGCAGCCAAAATACATTAGGACAAAACTAATAAGTAAAATTAGAAATTCTTACTAAAAATTATAATCAGTTAATGGGAAAGGGAAACTTTTTAAATTTTTGGGAAGCAGCCATGGGGTTTGCAAATGTTCTGTATCTTGATGAATATTTAAAGCAAAGCATCCTCCTTTTCCTCTCCTCTTCCCAAGCCCAAACTCACCATCAGTCAGTTTTTCTGGTTGTTCTAGAACCTCTGTCTCTGTCGGTTTTGGAAGGTGAACGTATAAACAACCTGAAACCTGGATCGAGCCTGCCCCGCTAATCACGCCCCCATTGAGATAAACAGAAATACGGTCTAGGTAAATTTAGGAAACAGCAGGACAATGGTGCAACCCAGCAATGGAAACGAAAGCGAACAACAGTAACAGTCTCGAGCACATTTGCAGCGGAAGGCACGGCATGTTGCTGAAATAGGCCCATCAGCTGTCAGTTTTCCTTGGGAGTCAATAAATTAAAACCACGAGCTGGAGCGAGTCTATGCTCAAGACTTACTAGCGTTCCGTTGCCATGTGAATAATTTATCATGCCCAGTTGCATTATTTAAGATGTTAAATGCAGCTACTGGGCCTTGGAATCTGAGCTGGCGTTCTCAGGACTGGCAGGAAAAACACGGTGCACACATTTTAACGGGGCAATATTATTTGACAGGCACTGGCCGCTCTGGAGGGTTTCATGGTTTGTCTGGGATTACCTCTCTGAACGAGAGTGCAGAGACCACACTCCTTCTTAATGGGGCAGGCAGCAGGCGCTGCCCGGGGAGACAGATGGGCCACCCGTTTGGAGTCGATTCTTTAATTTTGGCCCCCTCCTCTAGAAGGAATGTATGTTCTTTTTTAAAAGCTTAGAAATATTTATTTTCATTGAAATGCAAGAACTTCCATAGGAAAATTGAAAAACAAAACAAAACAGTGAGTCTTTGCAGCCATTTGCATCCATAAAAACAAATAGGAGAGTCTTTGGCTTGGATTGCCCTGCAGGCACTGAACTTGGAAAACCTCTGGAGTGTGTGTGTGTGTGATTGGAAATAAAGAAATAAAGGGAGGGCATGTTTTTAACCTTTTTGCTCCTCTCTGCCCCTTCATTTGATCTTCACTCATGTTAATTTTATCTTAACTCATGAGTGAAGTTTCCTTCTCAAGCCTGCATTTGACAATGATCTTAACAAACTAAATTGACCTTTTTCCCCTTTGTTACCAGGAACCCAACACTCATCGGTCCAGCCCGGCAAGTCGTCCACAGGTTTCTTTTATTAATAACCCGGCCAGTCACAGGCAGGTCAGGAACGCAACCCTGGTATAGCAGACACTTCCCTTGGCCTCCATCTTGCACTTGGCTGACGGTCCACAACACAGAGATACCATCCTTCCTCTCTGACACCAGGCTCCAGCTTTGAAGAGACGATGTCGCAGTCATTGGAACTGATATTTTATAGAGAGAGAAGGATTCCGTTTTCCCAGACTTCAAAGTAGAATTTGACTTTTAAAAGGTTTCCGAGTTTTAGTGAATTTCACCAAGTTACTAGGTAAAAAAGCCGCGCATTTATCATGGTGGAGTTTCTCAGCACTCAACACTCCCGCTTGCTAATCCCGTAAATGGTAGGTAAGTCTATGATCTACCGTGACTTTTAACACGTTTCTGTTATTTTAAATCATACCAAGGTGATATTTATGTATGTTTCATAGGTAGTGGCATCGTTGCATATTATCAGTGAAATAAGAGGATGAAACTTAGGGTCAATCCGAAATCTAAAATTGACTGGCAAATCAGAGCTCCAAAAGTTAAAGATAAGATTCGATTCGAGCGCTGGTGCACACGGGCCTAAATGCCCCACGATTGAGCATTTACGTGAAGACACTCGCTTTTGTCTGTTTCCCTGTCGGGCTTGTTCTCTTCTCCTCAAACGAATGAAATGTGGATCATGCTTTGTGGGGGATGTACCTCGCACACCACGGAAAAACTGGAGACGGGCAATGTGTTCTTTAATAAAGAAAAAAGAAAACACGAAAAAAGTGGGTATTGCCTTTATTAACTCTTTACTATTCAGGTGGCAGTTGAAAGAATCCAGCATTTTTCCAAGAAGGACAATGGGAGACTTCGCCAATACACCCTCCCATCTCCATATATGTCTTTGCATCCTGTGCATTTGCCCCGATTAAAGTTAGAGTGAACGTTACGCAGAATAAAATCGCTGCCTTTTCCAAATAGTTTTCTTTCCTCGTGTGGATACACTCCGTGGATTTCACTGCCCACCCACCCTTTCGTGTCGAACCTAGAGGCAGGACTGACTCTGAACTGGTTGGTGCAGATTTCTCTGCTGACCAGTAATCGGCAACTGCTTTGCGTTCCTCATGCCCAGCCATGCTGTTGCTAAAGTAGCATGTGACTTTTAAAATGTGTCAGGATTTTAGTGAATTCTTTAAAATTACTGAGTAAAAGCTGCAAATCCATTATCGTGATGTTTCTCATCACTCAGCACTCCTGCTTGCTAATCCAATAAATGGCAGGTAAGACCTACACTACCATGATTTATAAAGTACTTTTATGATCTCAAATCACATCAAGCCCCTACCCTGGACCTCTTCCTGTGAATCTGCAACTAGCTCAAGGAATGTTTTCTAGTGCAGAGTGGGGCTTTGGTGGGCATCTGTTCTGATTGGCTGATGCTCTGTATTCGTTCTGATTGGTAGGTGCACATACAGTATCTATGCTGATCGAGTGGTGTTCACACCTTACTGGTTGTCAAATATTTTGAATATCACCACTGCTTAGAGGATCTGTTAACTCTTCTTGGACTGTGTCCTTAATGCGAAAGAATTGGCTGCCTATTTTCTTGAGAGTAGAACTGCAATGCAGAATCTCAAAAAGCCATAAATATTGCTATCTCACTTTCCTAAGAGTCCTTTATATGGAAAAAATTACCAATTCCACTGCATAAAAATGAGACTTTTGCTTATTATACTAATTTCTTTATTCCCTGCCAATATGGTTGTGTCTCCCTACCACCATCCTTTAACAGGTACAATGAGAAGAGAAAGACAAGAAGGTTTGTGAGTCCCTTTAGACCAAGCTAATGCATGAACTCCACATTCTTAATAGTTTATTATCCTTAAACCACCATGGAATCCAGATCTGAAGACAAGGCAAATGTCATGTCATTTATACCTTTTGTAACCTTTGCAGCACCTACTATATACTGCAAGTGTTCAGTAAATATTCACATCAAACAGGTCAATATTCAGAAAGGCAGTATATTGAATAGAATGAATATTTGCTATTAGCTTGCTATAAGAATCATAGTTTTGTGGTCATTTTAGGAGTTAAAGGGGTTGCATGTAGAATATAATTGAAATTTAAGTTTTGAACTCTGGGAGACAATGGTAAATGATTTTCATTAGAAGTTTCTCCAACTTACTTGAATCACCCTCAAAATATTTTTTTCATTTATCAGACTATGGGAAGTTTTGTGATGTCACTCAAGAACAGGTTCTTCCTACTGCATCTAACTCCAGGAGTAAAAGGTTTCTTAAAGGGATCCCCTGGCCAGCTTTTATTTCAAAAGAGGTAGATGTGCTATTTGAACAGAACTATCTAGAGCTACACTATCCTATACTGTAGCCACATGGAGCTGTCTAAATTTAAATTAGTTAAACTAAATAGAATATAAGATTCATTTCCTCAGTTGCAGTGGCCACGTTTCAAGCGCTCAGGAAGCCACATGTGGCCAGTGGCTACTGTACTGGACAATGCAGATCGCAGGCTTCCATTGTCGCAGGAGTTCCTTAGGACTTCTAGAATGCTGATCTAGAGGCAGCTACTTGGAAATGACCTTGATGAGTCAAGGATGGGCTCTTTTACACAAACACACAATCTGTGTTTTTTTCCTAGCATTTTATCTGTGCACTCAGCCAGTTTCTATTTAAGAGTCCTGCAACCCCCAAGGCAGCTCTCAACTGAAAATGGTGTTTTGCTGATGTGGAAAATTCTTCTCTCACCTCTGCAATGCGGAGAGCTGAGGCAGGCTCAGGGCTGGAGTGAGAGGAGCCAGTCACAGCAAGACATCATGGTCAAGGTTGTCTGTGAAACAACAGAAAGGCAGACGAAGCTCTCTGCTAATGAACGGCTGAGCAGGCCACAAATGCATTTAAACAAATACCCCCTCCACGCCCTGCATCCTAAAATACTAGCCAGGAAAACCACGCGTGCCCTTCCCTCCTGGGACCATTGACCTTGGCTGGACTGTCAGATTCCAAGCCTGCCCCATGAAGTCAAGGATCTTCCATCATTTACTAAGGGCAGGACTCAAGTGGTAATGCCAACACCTTGAAGGCAACAGGTGAGCTTGAATAGGAGCACTTCCTTTGCTCTGTGTGATCCTGGCCTTGGAAAACTGTCAGGGGGCGTCTGATTGCACATTCCTGGAAGTCTGATGACATAAGAGCTCAGAGGATGCCACAGAGCAAACATGAGATGCTGTGCCAACGTCCACACCCCGACATTTAAGTGCTCATGATGTCTTTGGGAAAGGACGCTCCATCCTGCATAAAGATGGAGAATAGTCCTCCCTGGGGGACAGAGGGGACCTGGAAGAGTTCAGAGATGAGGGAGTTGGGTGAGAGCAGGACAGGAAGCACGGGTCCAGGCGAAGGCAGAATGGGACGAGGGTCTTGGTAGGCGGGTGGTCCTGTAGGCCTGGGGCAGATCCCGTTGGCTGGGGAGCTGTGACCATCCATCAGATCTGCAGGCCAGGGAGGGGCTGATGGACCTGTATGGAGGATGGACCCGTAATGCCACTGCGGTGGCCTTGGGTGGAGGGACAAGGCCAAGACGTGGACACCCTGCAGGGAGGGGGTGAGAGCGACAAGACTTCAGCCCCCCACTGCTCCTGCCTCCCCTTGACCACACCGACCAGAGGCCAGGGGTCCTGGGAGCCCTTTGATGTGGCAGGTGTGAGCCAGTCCCCTGGGAGGACAGAGCCGGAGGGACAAGGTGGATAGAGGATGTGGGCGTGGGGTGGGCAGAACATTTAGGAAGAGAAATGATGAATGGGGAATGTGTGAAGTCAGGAGGAAAGACAGTTTGCCTCATGATGCTCCACCGTGACTTGCTTTCCTTAAGGACGTGGAGACAGGTGGAGGGGCCAAGCCTTGGGCCCATGCAGGTTGGCTGAAAATCACCGATGAGATGCAAATTAATGGGATAAAAGGCACACACATTCATTTAATGTGTATACACAAGAGGCTTTAGAACGAAGACCCAAGGACACAGGGGAAATTGTCCATTTTTATGCTTAGGTTTAACAAAGCAGAGACAGTTATTAGAGATATGACTGGACAAAAAGGGCAAAAATTGGAGGGCCTGATGCTGGTAGACTGAGTGGGGAAGCCTCACGTGGGGTTCCCGTCCCTTTCTGCCTTCCCCTGGGCCCTCGCTCCCGTCCTGCCCTCGCCTGGCCCCCTCATCTCGGAACTCCAAGGTCTCCAAGTCCCCCGGCCTGTGGGAGAGTCAAGTGTCTTCTCGGCCTCTCTGAGCAGCCTCCTTCCTGCTGGGCGTGGGCAGGGCTCTCTCTGGAGTGGGGGTTTTATGACCTCCTTTCCAATAAGGTCCGGCAATTTCTTTATGGCCAGTTTTTACATAGGATATTTTTAGGCTTTCCAGCTGGCTTTGGAAAATAAGGGTTCTGGTTCCCAGGACTTGCCTTGGGGAAGAGGGAGTCTAGCTTCTATGGGTAGCTTCGAGGGAGAGTGGGCCTGAGAGACAGGAAGGCAGGAGAAGTTTGGAGAAAAGCTTTTGTTCTGGGGCCTCCGAGGTGGGGCGCTGTTTTCTGAGTCCTAACAGAGCAGCACGGGGAGGAAGGGAGTCGGCTGCGTTGAACTCGGGTGGCTCACGTCTTGGGTGCCTGGTTCCACATCAGTAGAACGGGGGGTGGGAGGACGGATCCCTGAAGTCCCTTCTGGCACTTACCTTACACGCATGCGTGCACAGTCCTCACCGGCGTGGCCCAGCTCTCAGGACTGAGGCTGTTCCGTCCAAGCGTGGGCAGGTGTCCCTGGCCCTGCCCCACTGGGAGGCAGCTGCGCTTTTGCAGCTGGGACATATTTAATTCTCACCTAACACAGGCTGCAAGTCATGGCCCGGCAGCGACGGCCACAGGGGGCTCCCTCTGCAGCGTCCACGAAGCAGGTGCTCGGACCTCGCGCCCACGCCTTGGCAAAGCGGCAGTGTGAGGCGGCGGCTGGGTCCCCGGCTGGAAGCAGCCCCTCCCTCGTCTTCCCTCTTCCCTTGGGGGAGCCCCGTCATTTCTGGAAACACAGCGGGACTCGGAACCTGCGGACCGGAGGGCACATTTGTGGCAGTTACTGGCCGGTCCGGGGTGTCAGACGGAGACGGGCACGCCCTGCCCCGTCACACCCCGGGCGGACACAGCACAGCATCGATGAGCTTCCTGCAAACTCTACCGGGAAACGTGGCGCAGGATGTATTGATTACATTTCTCTGCAGAAACGTCAAGAACCTGTGATATTTCACAGGGTAACGTGATTGGGGAACAGCTGGTGAAATGAAGCCTCCGTTGCGTGGGTAATAAAGCCTGGGGAGGTTCAAATAACAGCAGATTATTTGCTAAATCGAAAACTAATTTTAAAAATTGCAGTTGATTGAGATTTTTCTTTTTCTCAGAAGGTGCAAATAGGCCTGGCTGAGGTAGAAGGTGGTCAGACCCAAGGTCCTGTCATGGCAGTGGCAGGTGACGGAAGAATATGCCCACCTCTTCCTCCTCACAGCTGGCGTGTGTGCGTGTGTGTGCGTGTGTGTGTGTGAATGTGTATATGTGCGTGTGCGTGGTGTGCACTGTGTGTATGTGTATGTATGTGTGTATACACATGGTATGTGTGTATATATATGGCATGTGTACATATGTTTGTTCCTGTGTCTGTATTTCTGTGCATATATGGCATGTGTATGTACGTGCATGTGCCTGTGTGTTCATATGTATGTTGAAGAGCAAGGGAAG